GGAAACAATGCCATGTGGTGATAGGTCCATCATAATAGTATGGATATATAATACCATGGAGAATTGATAATGTCCTTCAGTCTATGAAATCAACATCATACCGCCATATTCAACATGGTTAGCATTCCTGGCATATAACAGGGTTAGAAAGTATAATATATTTTAACTATTCCACAAACGTATCTGCAAGTGGAAGTCTGGAAGGAAATGTCCTCTAGGCCTCAGACAAGTGTGCTCAATATCAGGGGTGGAAATAACTTTAAAATTGCTAGTGTACTCCGGTACAGTGGCACATGTAAAGTCACTTGCCCTGATAATTTTTCTACTATACCATCCGTTTTCTTGTTGATATTTTAAATAAACAACATCATTAACATTGGAAAGTCAACTGGACACCGGTACAGTGTGATGTACAAATTTGCTTGCCCGACAGAAAAAAACACTGGACTCGGACGTCGGGCAATGGGTTATTTCCACCCCTCAATATAATATTTTAAACTGTTTGACCAGGTTCGAGGTCAGAGGGTGTGGCTAAAAGGCTAATCATTCACACTGTACCTGACAGGTAAAATAATATCATACTCCACTAAAAGGAGAATAGATAATATTATACCATATATTTGCATCTTTGAATCTTTGAAACTAGCATTTCAAGTGGTCTACAACAGACCATTCCACTGAACCTCACTTAGGTATGACATCTATGTTTGAAATCACTAACATTAAAACACAGTAGGTTTATACCATAATCCAATATTTGTTCACAGTATTGTTGGTTAGAGACAGAATAAACTGGTAAGCAATTAAAACAAAGCTGTTCTAAATTAATATGTTCCAGACATTTTCAACAGTTCAATAATTGACCCTGATCAGATACCAAGAGGACAAGAGAAATATTAACAGTTGCCAAAGAGTGAGTCGTGAATTGTAACTTTATAGTGAAACAAGTGAGGACATATATATATCTGTTCAAGAAACTAACAATCTGACTGGCCAGTCTCAATGTAATACCCATCTAAATGCACAGAATCATATATTCACCCCAAAAAACAAATGTCATTGTCAGTAGAACTCTTGTGAACAGTTATGTCTCTAGCATTGATGATGATTGTGAAAGTCCCTTGAACTTTGGTTTTGGGTAAAAGCCCTTTCAGCTTGCAAAACCTCACATGGACCGAATCCATGAACATAACTTTAGTAATATCTGCATAAAAGGGTTTTTGGTGCTTTTTCAAGAATATTTGAAATTGAGTTTGCAGTGGTAAACAGTTCTTTCTGTATGAGTTCATTCATACTTTAACCAACTGACTGACTGAGTTTGGTTTTACGCCGCTTTTAGCAATATTCCAGCAACATCACGGCAGGGGACACCAGAAATGGGCTTCACACATTGTGCCCTTTAACCAACTGCCTGAGACCAGCTGTTTCTGAAGAACAGTGAGAGTTGAAGTTGTGATAAACCAGATATTTTGCATCAAAGCCATTCTGGTTCCCAAGACTTGAATGTCAAGGACATCATGGGGGATAATATAAAACAGCCATACCATGCATCAGAAGATGAAGAGGCAAAACCATTGTGTTTACAAACTGGTAAAGTTTTGTTTCAGAGAGGCTTTGTTACCAGGGGAAGTAATCTCGTAGAATAATACAACAGTATGAGCCAAATCACAATAATCCCCAACATGCCGACGTTTCCCTTTAAAGAACTACATATACAAATGTTCAAACAACAGGAAAAGATGAAGTAGGGATCTCAGCTCATACCTAACCAATGGTAAACCATTTTGATACCAAGCATTATACTTTATACTGTGACTGATATCAGTGAGTGAGTGAGTGAGTATGGTTCTACGCCGCTTTTAGCAATATTCCAGCAATATCACAGCGGGGGACACCAGAAATGGGCTTCACACATTGTACCCGTATGGGGATTCAAACCCAGGGCCTAGATTTTCGAAGCTCTCTTAGCGCTAAGATAGTCGTAAGTGGAATACATTAACATTAACTTACGACTATCTTAGCGCTAAGAGAGCTTCGAAAATCTAGGCCCTGGTCTTCAGCATGACGACTGATATCAATGACTGGGAGACACATCCACGGTTGAGTGACATACCCTCCAGACTGCTTCACGAGCTAAGAGATATGCACATGTGTATATTTTCAATCTATATTCAAAGACAAGGTAAAAGAAATCAGTTGAATTTATTGGTAACTAAACCATGGTAATAGTCTCAGGATATGATATGCTTTACTGATTTAACAACAAACAACAAACCCTCGACAAGTGTAGCCTGATGCTGCAATAATGATCGGGATCAAATTGAAAGTTACACCTTAGATCATTTTTCCATTTCAAATGCTGTACATCTCTGATGTGAGTGAAAATAAACGAATCTTCAACCCCAAACGTTTTAGTCGGCAATGATTGTCAGCCAGGTGTGATTTCTTCAAATGTGAAACAAAAGATCTGTCTTTGTCTTGGTTACATATGCTCAGTTTAACACCGGTGCATTCTTAGTCTCTATAGGCCCAGCCTCTTTCAAAATTTGAAAACCAGCGTATTTAGTATTCCGGTGACCAGAAATGAAATGAAAAGATACAAAAATAACTCATTTACTGACACTATCAACATCAATAAATCATATATTCTTAATAAAACCTATTTAAAACGCCAAACCATTCTTCACATTTTGAGGAAATAACAAACAATATTTGAAATTGCAATTAAACCTTTTTGACAGGCTGACCTAAATTTTGGTACCAAAGATCCCCTAAGAAGACAGGCCAAGGAAAAGATTAGTGTTGAATAATATGCTTCCAAAGCCAAAAGACCATGATCACACCTATTTGTGTCAGTGAGTGAGTGAGTGAGTGAGTGAGTTTAGTTTTACGCCGCACTCAGCCATATTCCAGCTATATGGCGGCGGTCTGTAAATAATTGAGTCTGGACTAGACAATCCAGGGATCAACAGCATGAGCATCGACCTACACAATTAGGATACAGTGACATGTGTCAACCCAGTCAGCGAGCCTGACCACCCGATCCCGTTAGTCGCCTGTTATAACCAGCATGGGTTACTGAAGGGCCATTCTAACCCGGATCTTGACGGGTTTTTTGTGTCTGTGAGAATAACAACTCAGCACAAGCATTTGTAAACAGCAACAGACTAAATAATAATGACACCACTATCATGCATGCATGCACACAGATACAAGTGACCATACATCCTTTACCCACACCTTGGGATATTACATATATATTGCACATTGAGGCTGTACACCAAATGGTTTCTGTTGAAACTCTAAATATACCATACCCAGGTTATGTCTATGAGTGAGTGATTTTAGTTTTACACTACTTTTAGCAATATTCCAGCAATATCACAAGGGGGACACCAGAAATGGACTTCACACATTGTGGCCATGTGGGGAAGCGAACCCAGGTCTTTGGCGTGATGACTGACTGACTGACTGAGTTTGGTTTTACGCCGCTTTTAGCAATATTCCAGCAACATCACGGCGGGTGACACCAGAAATGGGCTTCACACATTGTACCCATGTGGGGATTCGAACCCGGGTCTTCGGCGTGACCTTTGGCGTGATGAGTGAACGTTTTAACTACTATGCTACTCCATCGCCCCGTTTATGTCTATGAATTAATTCAGTATGTATAACATTGTCATACAATGTGCCACTGTGCTGATAGCCTATGCATCATATACATCCTGTAGATGGTCACACAGTGACATGTACTCTGTCCTGAAAGTTTATTAAATGACCAATGAAAACGGGTGAAAATGAAGTGTGCACCCCCTTTTCTCAAATAGCTGCATCTGCCCCTGAATAATATTCTGAAAACGATTACTTTCTTCTTTGAAAGGCATTTAGAAGTTGGAGCAGTAAGGAAGGAAAGCAGTCTATGGATGAACAACTTCTTTATTACAGTGAGAGCAACATTTTGGTGTAGGTTCTAACACCGTTATCAGTGAGACTGCCACATCTCCATGAAGATGAGACCGCCTCCGTGGTGTAGTGGTTACAGCTTCCGCCGGAGAGCGGAAGGTCGCGGGTTCGATCCCTGACCGCGTCATACCAAAAGACGTTAAAATATGGTACTTGTTGGTCCCTGTCTGGCTCTCGGCATTAATGGGTACAACAAGGACTGGTCGGCTTGGAGTCAGTATACTGTGTCTGAGTGGGGTATTCATGCTTCACTGCGGCATGGTATCTCAGTGGGCTAGCACTATAAAACCAGCTTTAGTCTGGGCTAGTACAAGCAGCCGCACATACACATCCACACACATGCACGTCGTCATATGAGCGAAATATTCTCAAGCACGATGTTAAACCCAATTCCACCAGAACCACCTCCATGAAGATGATGAGTAAGCTCTTTGAGAAGCATTTAGAAGTTGGAGCGGAAAGGAAGTAGTGAACAAGTTGTTCATCCATATATTGTTATCCTTCCTCAATTCTTTCTTTATTCTGCCAAAAGCAAATATATTAAACTCGTGGGTTAACTGCAAGAGCAGCGGAGCAAATTTAATCACTGGTCACCTGTCAGCATATTCAGACTACTTTTTCAAGAAAGAAAACAAATTGGAAATCAGAAAAAATGCAATTTTTTTGGAGGGTGCCTTTGGGCTTCCGGAGCTAATTTTGGCGTGCCTTTGTGAAAGCAAGTGTGTCTGTACCTTTTGATGATCCAAATAAACTTAAAACATCACAACAAATGTCATTTCAATTTATTGTTTAATAAATCAGTAAACATGTCAACCTGTGAACTTGAGAGCTGGATATCCTTAACACTACCATGCCTGCAAGAATAGGTCAGCTTTATTTGTCCTGGATATTATTTGGTTATTTTAGTTGGTCAAATTTATTGAACTTTCCAATAAATGAATCATGGTGAGTATTATTTTAATAATTTTACTCGTGCCACCAGGGCATGTTGAAAATATTTCATCCAAGCCATCTCAATATTTACTGTGCCATAACACCCAAATTAAGCACTATTTTAATCCCTGAAAACATCTGCCAAGTAGAATTTCTCAAATGAAAATCTAAAACCAGGAAATGAAACATGTCTGACAGTGTTCCCGGTAGGAAAAAAAGCTCTGCGTTCCTAAAACTCACAGCCTCAAGAATCTTGTGTGTGCATGCACTGCAGGTCCCCTGTATAGGTCTGAAATTTAGACGTCTTCCTTGCATTTTAGAGCATGTTGTCATCATTCACAAGTCAAATTCAGCTGAGAGAAACTTTATTTTATTTTGTTGTTACCTTGGGAAAATTACGTTTTTCAGTTACTTGTTCCCAAAACACAAAATGCTCTGCGTGCAGAAGACGCAGGTAGAAAATATCGTGCATGAAATGTAGACTTATTTTGCGTGAAACATGCAGGTTTTTGCGTTAACCCGAACACTGGCCTGAGGGGCAGGGTTTGGTTTGGTGGGCTTTAACAGTAATCCAGTTGCCTCACAGCATGTCAGCTGAACCACATCTTAACTTATGCAGAAAGGCTCTTAAAATAGCAACAGGATGAATGACTTCAAAACGTATTACATGATATCTCTTCAGTATCAAGAGCTGTTCAGAAAGCATCTTGTCTACTGGGGCTGCGTATTGGCAAATAAATTGTGTTTCAGTACATTGTGCTACATGTGATACATTGGAACTAAAGTGGTTGATAGTGTGTGGCACTGATTGTACACGCAGATCCTATTTTCTACCTACTGAGGCCCTGAACATCAATGTTATTGTTCTCAAATATTAGGTTGGGTAGTGAGGGATTATTATAATCTTCAACTGATCTTTTTTTATCTCGTAACATGTAGAAAATCTCTTAAACTTAAAAATAGTAAGTCAGGTTGACGACACTCAAAGTCAAAGTTGTCACCATGTTCAAATCATACCGGCTACCTAATTATCGATATCAGACACCTTTGTCACCAGAAAACAATGTATCATTTAGGAGACAAACTTGGCTGACACTGTTCAACAGTGAAATATGAAGTCACCAGAGATGGTGGTCGATTAACTTGGTTTTAACGTTGATGTGAAGAATATATCTGTTATATCATGGCACGTCAGAATATTATGAAAGGGATATCAGAGTGACGCAGTCCTAGACTGTTACCATTTAAGTTAAACAAGCAAGCATGAATGTAGTGTTACAGCCCATCTTTGCAAACATGGCTAATACATTCCTCTGCGTAGCAAGACAAAACTGGACCAACAAGTCACGGCAAACATAGAACCGTGTCTGTAATTACGAATCAGTCTGAATTGATATAAATAGCAGTTATGTCAACTAATGGAGAGTACACTAAAGTCCTCCGACACCGACTCATTAAAACACCAGAACGGGGAGATAGTCAAGACATATGGGTTGTATAAATTATCTCCATGGTCTAACTTCATAACAACAGAGGTAAATAAAATCAGTTTGATATCAGGACTTTGAAGATTTGATCTGTTTTTCCTGATTTTTCGACCTCCATATCTTGATGGTGTTGTCGTCACTGACAGTGATAAGTACTTCTGAATCAACAGGGTTGAAAGCAACACAGTTGACAACGTCGCTGTGAGGAAATCGATGGAGACAGATACCGTAGTGGCGGTCCCAGATGTACCCATGTTTGTCCTCAGCTCCACTGAAAACATTTTTAAAGATTTCAAATTACAAGGGATCAAACTGGCTTGATTTTTCTGAATATAACATGATAACTATCATTAAAATATTTACACAGTTCACTATATGGTACGAGGGAGGAGTGCAGATAAAGGAACAGAAAGGATGGATACGGCACAGCACAGGTAAATGAATCAATAGGTTTGTTGGCACATGTGCACATGCTCCGCGTACACCTGGCTGTTCCTCTCTTTGCATTCCTCCCACGTAACAAATAGTGAACTGTGTCAAAATTTAATGATAGTTTGTTAAACATCTTTTTTATTTTCAGGATATAAATTCTGCAAAAACTCACAGAGTTGGTCTGATGTTTATAATATGATCAGCGTTTCATTGAGTATTATATGTTTATCAGTTTTCGAGTTAGATTGCAATTCATCGGTCCGCTTTTGAGCCAAACTGACTATAGTAGTTCACCCTTCAATATGGATAGATATTTTCCTTTGTAATAAACAAGTGAAAAGGTGAGTATGTTAGGCATATATCACAAAACATGACCTACATGGAACATATAGTACACAATTCTGTGTATCATATGTCAGGTGAATATTTTCACAATGAGTTATGACTTTCTTTAAAACAGGTCACGATGACCCCCATGAGTTTGGAAGTCTCTGATAAATCACATATAATAAGGGCATTTGTAATGCATTTAATTCCGCACCATGGAGAAGCACTCTCAAAGCGCTACAATCTGATTATCATTACCCCTGATAACCCAAGCTGCCTGTGAGGTGCTAGAAGGTTAACAGTCACATGACATCCCACCGGGTACCCATTTTCTGCTGGGTGAACAAACTCACTTCGCTAAGGTGACACCACATGTATCACATGTGCTTCATTGTGGGGCAGGACTGAAGTCCTAGAGAGTCTCAGGAGTCAAGCTGCCAAACACGGTCACCCATCCAAGGACTCTCAAATGTTGCTAAACTTCAACTGATTAGTGACCTGAGCTCTATGCACAGGACCATACACCACCATACATCATTTATTACAAGAGTTTGATATTACAGGACATCTTTGAATCATTTCAGCATTAATATTGATCACAGAGAGAAAATCAGTTTTCAAGAGGCATTGTAAACCAAAAGTCACTGTGTTCTTTAATCTGATTGGTTGATAAACATGATCAAATGGTATTCGATTCCCGGAAATTCGCTGCGTATTAATACATACAAACATCGCTCACACCATTGTATTGTTACGTCGTCAGCTGAGATGACGTCATTCAAATCATATTGTGACGTAAAGTCCGAATGACGTCACAAATGAGCAGTTCCAGATGCTACCATGGGAGACAGCCAAACGGCTGATGACACTTCACTGCTGTACACGTACTCGATGTCAATGAGCGCAGACACAAAAACGTGTGTGGACCTTTTGGTTTACTTTTGTGTTTACAATGTTGATAAACATCATGTGTTGGCCAATTTCCGGGTGTTATTGAGTATTTGAAGCACGGGAATATTTCATTTGAAACCTCCGGCTGCTTCAAATGAATTCCGTTAGCTTCAAATACTCAATAACACCCGGAAATTGGTCAACACATGATGTTTATCTCCTAATTAACTACGGAACTACCAGTTTGATACTGATTTTAGCACCTAGGCTTATCTACAGTAATCAATGGTAATACACAGTACACTTCATAGAGAACCACCTGAAATGATGACACCCACCTGGCAACATACTCCTCACAGACATCGAGAAAGATGAAGAAACATTCGTCGTTGGGGGTGAAGGCTTTGTGAGACCTCAACATGGTGCCTACTTCCTTCATCTTACACAGGTCAATGACGTGGACGTCGATCTCCTGGGCTATCGGGGGTGGTTGTAGTGGGTTACAGATCTCGTAGCCCGAGGCCACGGTCGACTGTTTACATACAGGTATCTACAACACAGGGGTTTGGTTAACATCATAGTCATAGTGCCATGAATACATCCCAGGGAGCTGAGAATGTAATTTTATTAACTTCTCATCATCATCATCACCATCATCAAAAATAGTATCACTCATCTGAAAGCTGTCTTGGTTGACACAAGTCATCATATCCCAATTGCTTAGATCGATGTTCATGCTGTAAATCACTGGATTGTCTGGTCCAGACTGTATTATTTACAGACTACCGCCATATAGTTACAATATTGCTGAGTGCAGCGATAAACAACAAACAAACAAAACATCTGAATGGGTTGCAGATTTTGTTCGATGTTCAACAAATCTTGTCCTGATGTCTGCTATGGACACTTATTAATATTTTAGCAAAACCATAGTCAACATTTCTTACAGATGATGATGATGATGATGATGATGATGATGATGATGATGATGATGATGATGATGATGATGATGATGATAAAGCAGGGACTGGGAAAGGCAGGGGCCATGGGCCATTTTGCACATTAGAATAAAAACTGGCCCGTTAAAATTTTTGAAGTTTACTATTGATATATATACAAGGGCAGTGGCCCATTCTAAATTCAGAAAATGGCTAATAATCCTGAAAATCGCCCATTGTCAAAGTTCTCTATCCCAATCCCTGGATAAAATATTATTAAGATGAGGATATTAGATAACTCTGGAGCTTACAATGTCTCTCTTATGGAAAGCACAAGATATTCTGAAAGATGAAGCTTAAACATAAAAGATAATACATATGTTTAAAAAGTGTCTCTCTACTGGGAGACAGTGGGGTAGTCCTCACAGCATGTCATGCTGAAGACCTGGATTTGATTCCCCAACCCACATGTACAATGTGTGAAGCCCATTTCTGGTATCCCCTGCCATGATATTGCTGTAATGTTGCTAAAAGCGGCATAAAACCCAACTCACTCACTCACTCACTGACTGTCTTTCCACTCACCTGTGATCAGGAGACAGACTCATGCCGATTATATGTCCATCCATGTCGAATATTTCATCCACATTGTCATACGGCCGATCAATACCGTGGTTGTTTTCATCAACATCCGGCAAGAGAAAGCGCACCCCACCATCCCCACACTGTGTCTGACCAACCGTCCTGTCTCCTTTCAACGAATCAATCCTCTTGATGCCGATCTGGTGCGGAGTGTACGTCAGGGACCCCATGGTGAATATAAGGAGCTTATCACACTGTTCACTCACTTTCTGTTTAATGGTATTGTGCTTTTCCGAGGTATTGTTGGTTGGAAGACAACAGTTATCGGAGAAACCGTTACACAGGTTGTTTGGCTGAGGTTGCATGTCGTCGTTGTCGTCACTGTCGCAGCAGGCACAGGGAAGGGCTGCCTCGATCTCCACCTGGCCGCAGCGAACACTCCATGGAGTGGTTCATCACCTCCGCCGCTTCCCAGTACTCGGGCCTGTAGATTATTCGCCCATTTATCTGATTTCCGATGTCTTGTCTGCTTCCTGTTTGTGATGTCACAGAATGTACAGAGTTTTCGACAACTTTCACACTTTGGCTTTCCCCGTATATGTCCGACTTACTGCGCACAGACTCCTGGTCTGGTTTCCCAGCGTTAAATGCCATGTTGTCCACTTTGGTGTCCGTCAGATTTTTGGATATCATGATTGTCCTAATGGAACTTGCGTTTGTGTTCAGGAAGCGAAACAATCTCATCACAACCGATTCACGTTCTGATTCAATGGACTGGGAGGCCTGTGATATAAAGACACATGCCAGTCAAACAGCTTAACCCACAAGGATTTGCTTGATGTTATGGGACAAAAGCATTCCTTTCTATAAACAAACACATTGTGCATGGACACTGCTAATTTTAGTCTGTTATAACAATACTTTGTTCAGGGCTCCAGATAAGGGCCATATCGGCGTATGTACGGATAAAAAATATGCACGATACGGTAGGAAATAATTTAGAAAACGTAGCAGATACGCACCACAGCAATGGTGTACGGTCTTAGAATCATTTACAGACGTATTTATCTGAAAAAGTATTGTTTTATTGTTCATTGACCTGTTTACACAAGAGTAGCAATGTTGTGGTGCATATATGAAACGAAACACAAGATTACTGATAGTCCATTAGCTTCCATTCAGTACTCAAAATGTACACTTAAGGTTTTCCAGTACTCAATATTGAACAAATAAGGAGTACGTTAAGGTTTTCCTACTCCTGATGTTGAAAAATGATCTGGAGCCCTGCTTTGTTGAACACATTTTGACTAATATTAACAAAAAGTGTCCAGGACTAAAGAAAACCCCAGTTTGATATATAATCCATCAGTTATTGGAAATCAAGTGAAGGCTATCACACGTCACCAGGCTTGGACGTTCTAAATCATAACAGAAAGTCCCCTTTACTTTGACATCTAGTGACCAATGTGAATCTCTACAGCTGCCATTACATCTATCACGATGGTTTTATTGAGGTAATGTGTTTCGTACAGGAAGAACATCCTTAATGGATCATATTAAAATGCAATGTTAAAATAGCTCTGTAATAAGGAAATTATAGTTGAAATATTCTAAGCTGTGAGATTGAGAGTGCCACAGACAAACAGTTTGATGGTTGGTAAAACTTATTGCTATTCATCTGTGCTATTTCAATATTTACTGTCTTTTTAAAAAAAAGTACATATTTTAAAACTTGCTTGCCAAGTGCAGTTAGCTTGAATGCTAGGTATATCCCTGATTACCAAAATTACCTCTGTTCACCCTGCAGAAAATGGGTACTCGGAGGGATAAGTCATCTGACTATTAACTTTCATGTACTTCACAGGCAGCTTGGGTTATCCTGGGTAATAATGTCCATTATGCTGTGTGTGCTTAGAGCACGCATGTGTGGCATGGCAGGGCTCGATTTAAGAGATGTTAACCTACTTGCACCAGGTGCAACCTAAGATAAAAACCTAGTTGCACCAGCCAAATTCCAGTTGCACTGCTTTTATTGAAATATGCAATGTAAGAAATATGGTATTGAATTATTTAGATGTTTTATTGAGAGTTTACCCACTCAAAAATTGAGTTGCACCAGGTGCAAGTTCAGCTAATAGCTAGATTGCACTTTGTAATATTGGGTTGCACCAGTGCAAGTAACAAAGTACTAAATCGAGCCCTGCATGGAGTTTAGCGATTATTATTATTATTATTATTACCCACCAAAAAAAGCCTCAAGTCAACTTTCCGTTCAAATACATATCTAATTAAATAATGACTACTGTTAAATGCCTAACCTTGTTGAGCCACAGCGCTGAACATGAGTTCAGTTGTCGTGTCCAGTGCAGGTTTCCCGACAACAAGTGTGTGTCATCGTACCACGTCCCAAATACGTCATATGGCTTGTTTATTACACGACACTGTAGTTCAAAGTTTTCTGAAAAAGCAATACAAAAATAGAGTGGGTATGCACTCAACATTTTGGCTTGATTCTGATATCACTGCAAAATCATATTTTGTTCAAAAACAACAATATATAGTTTCACAAATTTACTGATATTTTCATGAGAATATTACTAAGATTTATTCAGCAATGAAGGTAAATTTTGTATCTAAACATTGTAAATACATCAGAAATAGGAGACAAATGTATTAATTTTTACAGAAGCTCTTTTAAAAAATTATCTTGTTTGCATATTTCCCAAAGTTTTGAGACAATACAAACTACCTGGTAGACGTCCTATGAGTTTCGTATTTTATAAGTTTCTAGATTACAACAAATATATTCACCAAAGTTAATTGGGAACAAAGTTTATCACCATGGCAACTGATTATTGACAGCAGAGTCTTACGTGTCAAGCTGAAGACAGCTATTTCTCCCGATGTGCTCATGTTACCAAAGTGTACACCAGAAACCAGGAGGAGAGTGTCGGATTCATTAAAGTTGGAGAACTGTGTGTACTTCCACGTGAATTCCTTCATGTCATGTTCATACTTGAGCGATGCTGGGTAACTGGACGTCCATACCTTCAACAGAAACGGTTGTTCAGTTTACTCTAATTTTCACTTTAAGAGGGGTTGTTCTGTCGGCCACTGGTCAAATGGTGACTGGTCAGGTAGAAAGTCACAGGGGTATTATATGTGAACTATTTACTGGTGAGTCCTGCTTTAATATGATTGAATTCATGGTGTCCCTGCCCATACTCAAATATTGAGAGAGCTCACTCACTTACTCAACAGCACCTTCTCAATCTTTTAACATGTTTAGTGACAGGATTCAATACAATGTGGCATCATTGTCAAACTCAATGAAATGATGCTCATTGAAGAGAGAGATATTGTAAAAGGCGACTAACGGGATTTTGGTTGACAAGTCATTGTATCCCGATTGCACTGACTGATGCTCATGCTGTTGATCACTGGATTGTCTGACACCATATATATTGGATAATTGTGGTGTTAAACAACAAACAAACAAAACTGAGAGGAATAAACTGACAACATTACAGATCAATATTATGTCCAGACATGTTTTTCATCAGTTTACTTTCTGTTTATCAACCTCCACAAACATTTCAAAACAATAAGTGCACTGGTTTTGCAGTCTTCTTATAGTTTTAGCACTAAGCTCGTTTTGAACAGAGGCACACCGGACAATTTATTTCTTAAGATAGTGTATCAGGTTTACAACGCTACTAATCTACAAAGCCCCTAAACTAGAAAACAGAAAACAACAATCATCGATGATACCTTGACAGTTCCGTCTTTAGAGCATGTTGCAAACAGCTGGCCATTATGCGAGAAGCTAACGTGTAGCACTTGGTCTTTATGCTTTCCTATGTTTTCACTCTCCAACACTGGGGTGTAGTAATACAGACGCTTGAACTCCTGCCTCCAAGAGTGTTTCCCTGGCGCCATGGGAACAGATGGAGCTATGTGCCAATGATGGTAAAATAATCCCTTCCATAACAGGTCATCTAGCGAGACTTGGAACCAGTGGTGACATGTGTATGAAGCCCTAGCTAGGTCCGCCACGGGCAGGTTGGAGAAGATCTTGAGTAGGAGGTCATCTGGCAGATGTTGGAAACCATAGTAGCTGATCACGTGATCTTCTGCCATCGACGAATCACAGCTCTGAAAAGACAATAGCTTAAAGATGTAGGATCTCACTCAATAACTGAAAGTTGTTCAACACCACCTTCAGATGTCTGACTGTTATCTGTATATAATCATATCAAAAGTGGTTGAAAGCATGATAAAAAAAATAGATTGATATTACATGATGCTCATAACGCTATGTTATCATTACCCTTGTCAGCAGGGTAGTCATATTACTATCTGATTTAGTCCTTCACCACAGTAGTGTTGGGAATTGGTTTAAATCTCATAATTGATAATTGGTTCATTACAACCGATCAATCATCGAAAATAATTGGTTAGCGTCATTTATCAAATTTTCCTGGTTATGTTTGTTAATGCACAAAAGATAAAGAAAAAAACATGTAGTTCTTTCGTTTTCTTAGCAAATTGCACAAAATGCATTTGCAAATTTCACATCTTTAAAGGATGACTAGAATGTTAGGAACATGAATTTCATGGAGTCTTTAAAATAAATTCAATCATGAATTGGAAGAGCTTGTAGTGCTAATGAAATCTAACAGACAAAACCAACCTTGTGAAAAATATTGTTATTGCAAACAAGTGTTCCAAAATTGATTGGGTTCGATTATGAGAAAACATGATCGATTGCTTGGTCGTTTTGTCATTGCGACCAATCTTCGATTATTTCAATTAATCGGACCACCACTACACCACAGTGAAGCACATGTAATTCTACCGGGTACCCATTCACTGCTGAGTTAACAGAGGCATATTTAAAACATGTCACATACTTCAGAAGACACTATGTACTGATACAGTGTATGTGGTGTCTCTTTAAGCATGTCACTTTGTTTGAGATATGCCTCACTCAGCAGTGAATGGGTACCCGGTGGAATTGCATGTGCTGCACTGTGGTCCAGGATCAAATCTGTAGAAAGCCATCCAACTACTTTCCACTACCAACGTTGCGTGACATCACCTGATATGTGACCTGTGTTCTGCACACAGGACAATATGCATATGCTGACATTACATGCCTTATCTGCCTGGAATCCTACAGGTGTCTACCTTTGTAAAGAAGTGGACCAATTCAATCAAAGTAAGCTAAAACATGAATATGGTCAAATTTATTTAAATTGTCCAATGCTGCATTTTAAAAATATTTTTTTTAAATGTTACAAAAGCCAGTCGGTGCAACCTCTTTTCAGAGTGAGTGAGTGAGTTTAGTTTTACGCCGCACTCAGCAATATTCCAGCTCCAAAATTCAGGTTCCATAGTCTTTTGACAGACAAGCAACATGATAATCGCCTGTTTATATAAGAGTCTAGACCACACCAACTATTATCCATGTAACAACCCACGTATTCACTAGCAAGACAATGAAGTCACTTCTAGCATAGGTTGCTAGGGACCACTTCTACCCAGAATCCCACACAGCTGGATTGGGATGAAATGACACATAATTAACCAAGTACCAAGTCTCACTATCCATACTATGAAGTCACTTCTAGCATGGGTTGGTAGGGACCACTTCTACCTAGAATCCCACACAGTTGGATTGGGATGAAATACACATAATTAACCAAGTACCAAGTCTCACTATCCATACTATGAAGTCACTTATACTATAGCATAGGTTTCTAGGGACCACTTCTACCTAGAATCCCCTACAGTTGGATTGGGATGAAATGACACATAATTAACCAAGTACCAAGTCTCACTATCCATACCACGAAGTCACTTCTAGCATAGGTTTCTAGGGACCACTTCTACCTAGAATCCCACACAGTTGGATTGGGATGAAATGACACATAATTAACCAAGTACCAAGTCTCACTATCCATACTATGAAGTCACTTCTAGCATAGGTTTCTAGGGACCACTTCTACCTAGAATCACACACAGTTGGATTGGGATGAAATGACACATAATTAACCAAGTACCAAGTCTCACTATCCATACTTCAAGTCACTTATACTATAGCATAGGTTTCTAGGGACCACTTCTACCTAGAATCCCACACAGTTGGATTGGGATGAAATGACACATAATTAACCAAGTACCAAGTCTCACTATCCATACTATCAAGTCACTTATACTATAGCATAGGTTTCTAGGGACCACTTCTACCTAGAATCTCACACAGCTGGATTGGGATGAAATGACACATAATTAACCAAGTACCAAGTCTCACTATCCATACTTCAAGTCACTTATACTATAGCATAGGTTTCTAGGGACCACTTCTACCTAGAATCCCACACAGTTGGATTGGGATGAAATGACACATAATTAACCAAGTACCAAGTCTCACTATCCATGCAACAAAGTCACTTCTGGCATAGGTTGCTAAGGGCCAATTCTACCTAGAATCCCAATGGGGCAAAGAAATCCTCAACCATTTACACTGTATTTTGCCAATACAGTAAAATGCATAAGCTTCCGTGAAATGAAAGTCACTATCTGCACCAACTAGCAGGAAACTGCAAGGAAGGATACCTCAACACTTTCAAGCAGGAAGTTGTCAACACAGCAGCTGTCTGTGACAACATCAACATGATCAAAGCTGTTTTACTGGCTGCTCTGCTCTTTTCACCATATCAATCAAACCTTGAACACAATACTCAGCATGCTCAGGGAGCAGCTGACTAATCTTCATATACAGTCAGTTTCAGAAACTTAAGTTGCTGCTGTTTATTTAGTTGATAATCATGATAAGGCCAGACCAATTTTATTTCTTGTTTTATGGATCCGCCGGTAATATTTTTTCAAGAATAAGAAAAATAATAATAATAATTTTCCCTGCTCAAGAAATAAAATTTTAATATTTTTATTGGCGAAAAATGTAAATGTGCAAGAAAATGTTTTTAGATTGTTTTCTTTTGCTCCATAGACAATTCATAAATTGCCAAAAGTAAAATACTGTTAGTATTTAAAAGGAATATTATTTTGACTGGTGATAGGTGTAACGTGATAGGATATGAGATAACTATGTGATCTATATTCATGGCGCTAAGCTTGTATATTTTAAAACTGTATCTGCACTTGATCATACGAATGGTGGCATGGTTTTCTTAACATAATGCGTAGTTATAGGCAACAAATGACATAACTTGTGCATAAATGACATAACTACTGCTTATATTACCCTCATCTATAGCTTAAATCTTAGTACATGTTAGATAACAGTGTCTTATGCAACATGTCCTTTGGTAACTGTGATAACATTGACAGATGTGAGTTTCAGCATATCCAAATGAGCTAAAACAGAATGTGTAACTATGGTAACAGTATGAAGTGATTAAGTGTTGCAAATCAGTCTTGGTTAGGTCCCACCATTTGAATGGTCTGGTGACTATTCACTCCTGCTGCCTTAACTAAGACACATCTTATCTACTTATGACAAATATTATCACTGCCAAATGAATTATTGTTGAAGCTGTCCTAAACCTATCTTGCTTATGAAAAAGGATAAGCTATTTTCTGACAGAAGGTACATAAGATGAGGGCTTCCAAATGGAACCATTTATTTATTATTTAAGGAATTCCCAGATTGAAAATCAAGTAAGCATAAATATTGATAACAGAAAACTATGTTTATAATGGACTCACAGGGACATTTCTTACTGTGTATGACAAGGATGAGCAGATTAATTACTTTTAAGTTTCCTTTCAATCCAAAGACAACAAGCATGTCCCGTAACAATTTTTATTTGGGGGCAAAACCGAGGGCAAAACATGTTGTTTTGTTAGAAATCCAATCCTCGAATATCAAAAGATTCAAATGGTTGGTCTCTCTCGTATCTTCATGCAATATATGTTGCGACCAGAATTTTGTGCATTCCTTGTAAGTTTTCATGTGAGGAATTTGAGGAGGATTTTAAATGGTATCAGTGGTATTTTAACATTGCATGTACTGCAATAATGCAGAGCTAAGTAGCGACATATTTTCTCATCATCATTACTTGTCATGCTGTCAGTGAAATAAAAGTCACCCTTCCAATGCTAAAGCATGGGCACTTGGGGCCCAAAACAAAAAAAAAAAGTGGTCTGTCAGAATGCCTAAATATATCTGTGATTGTGTGGTGTATTACAATGCACATTATTTCAGTAAATATGATTGAACTTATTGACAACCACAGACAATCAATGTTTAGTCAATTCTAGTTAGCTTTATGATGACATAGAATGAAAAGTTTTCATCATTTTCACAGACTTCCGTATTTCCTTGAACAATTTGAGGGACACTCATTTAGCATCTATGAATGTTACATTTGGCCAGAAAACAAAAACAAAACTTCATCAGAATATATTAGTGCTGGGGTTTGTTCGGTATTTACATGACAATCTTAATTTGCATATTTTCTCTCCTTTTGTTCCACGGAAATATCTCAGATATTGAGAGAATTACGGGAATTACATAGTACCCTTGTACATATCCGCTGACTGTAATAACATCATTCGATCGGTTCCTCCGCCGTTTCCTTGAAACGACCATTTGTCGGACAAAACTGAAATGGCTAAAAATCAGCTGATAATCAGCTCCATGTTTACAAAGTTGTCAATGGCTAACGTTGATTACTCTCAGTCTGCTTTTGATGTTAGCTGTTGTGGTTTTAAAAGAGCGACATTAAGTGGATAATAACAATATGCTTTCTGCCAATCTAACCCAAGAGAAATATTTTTAATCCAATCTATAAGGAAACGAAAAGCTGGACAACGTCGCTATGATGTCAATGTTTAATAATATGAAACAGGTACGCCTTAGTGCAGAAAACTGACACCTTCAAAATTATACAGAAGTTCATACCTTTAGAAAATACCAACATAAATCCTTATAAGCACACCAGAAAGCACTGTAGTTGTCAAATTGGTACGTCACGGGCTCTCGCTTTCCCTAAACAACATCGAAACATGCCATTTTGCCATGGGAATTCTGGGAGCTTGTTTTGGTTCTAAAATTAGAAACATAATTCATGCCATCACATCGTACTCCTTACAGGGTCATGAGCGGAGCGTTGAGTACAAGAACAACCAGCATATATACGAAGACACCAGTTTTTTAGATAATGTGCTTACATTGTTTCCTTACACTGTTATTTGATTAAAGGTGTGAAATCAGTTCTGTTACCCTTGCAATCACGTTTCACTGCGATGAACCAAATTCCAATACATCAATTGATATAGTCATACATGAACGCTATATATGTATCTTAGCGATACTCTTAGCTATACTCTCTTGTACAAGAGGGCGTCTGGTACTATAACAACCAGAGTGCGAAATAGTTTCCAAATTTTGCTAGCCTGTCGGGCTAGCTATGCCTGAAAGTGACTAGCCCACAAAATAATTCACTTTTGAATGTAGACACGGGTTAAGCTGCTAATGTGATGAACAGGCCATAATCTTGCATGATTTAAAAGTGTATTACAACGTAACAAGTAGGAGAGAGTGATATATTTACAAATGACCCCATGAAAATTCACCAGGCAGTCGGGCCAGTAACTATATAATGGAGATTTACTGGCCCGACTGGATTTATACTAGCCACGGGCTAGCGGACCAGTGGCTATTTCGCACACTGAATGTTATGTGCCTGTTATGTTATCCCTTTCATGCATACTTTCATGTTGTCTTACTTAATTCATGTTAGATACATATAAGTCTATTCTGCGCTAGGGGCGGTGGGGTAGCCTAGTGGTTAAAGCATTCGCTCGTCACGCCGAAGGCCCGGGTTCGATTCCCCACTTGTTACAATGCGTGAAGCCCATTTCTGGTGTCCCCGCCGTAAAATTGCTGGAATATTGCAAACACGGAGTAAACCACAACTCCCTCCCTCGCTGTTCTGTGCTGTATTACTTCGAATTCACTCTTGCTTGACAACGGCATAAGAATCTATACCGCATCCTAATATATAACAAAGAAGCTGTCTATCATAAAGTATCTAACCCGGGCATGGTCTCAACGTAACAAACGAGTTGATTGCAAGATGGGGAAGAACCTTTCAAAGAGTCTTTTGTGATCTACTGTGGGGCGTATGATGGCTATTTTAACGTTCCTTTCGTTTGAGTATGAATTTGTGGTATTTGAGTTTTAAGACACCTATATATACAGATTGTCGAATCAGGGGGGCAATCGGACAAGCATGTCGTATCTCGAAAACGAATATAATCGTGGAGTTCCGAATGCAAAAACGTAAACTGAAACTATTTTTCCTGGAGAAATACATCGATCCAGTCGTTTCTGAGCGCCATGTCACCTGCACCCACTCTCCGTGTATCTATAGGAGAATATGTGATATTCATAGAAACACATAACTAGATTTATTGAAAAAAAGCCGCAATGAGCTCGGATATTCAGATCCTGAGAAAAGCTAGACTTGCTATGAATTGCAGAAAAGGTTAGTCGGAAGGGAAATTGATGTAGTTCAGCGACTGTGTGTTTCGTTTGTTACTATAATGTCTGCAGTTCTCCACCTATAAGACGGCGGTCTATAAATAATCAGGTCTTGATAAGACAATCCAGGGATTGACATCACGAGCATCGATCTACACAGTAAGGATACGATAATATACATGAACTACATTCAACAAGCCTGACCAGCCGATCCGGTTAGTCTCCCCTTGACAAATCTTGATTGCTGAAGACCAATTCTATCTTCACCGGTCAGACAGAGGCTGCCAAAACCTTTTTGATACTACGGATGCAGTGCATTGTTAAGTGGTATTCCGGACACGTTGGATGCCATTAAATACATTACGTCATTATATTAATGTTGAATTCTTTTAATGTGGAACCCGTGAAGGTCCGGGTTAGAATGAACCTTCAGTAGCCCATGGTTGTCGTAAGAGGCGACTAACGGGATCGGGTGGTCAGGCTCGCTGGCTTGGTTGACACATGTCATCGGTTCCCAATTGCACAGATCGATGCTCATGCTGTTGATCACTGGATTGTCTGGTCCAGACTCGATTATTTACAAACCGCCGCCATATAGCTGGAATATTGTTAAGTGCCACGTAAAATGAAACTCATTCACTCACTTTAATGTGGAATGGTATGACAGAAAGCTGTGTGCACGCATGCAATGTCATGTGCGGAACTTCTTTAAGTGGCATTTAGAGTGAGTGAGTGAGTGTAGTTTTACGCCGCTTTTACCAACATTCCAGCAACATCACGGCGGGGGACACCAGAAATGGGCATCACACATTGTACCCATGTGGGGAATCGAACCCGGGTCTTCGACGTGACGAGCGAACGCTATAACCTCTAGGCTACCCCACCGCCCCCGGCATTTAGAAGATGGTATGATGAATAGGAACCAATTGTATGAATTGATAACTTCTTTATTATTGCAATACATGCCAAGTTTCGGTGTAGATGCAGCTAACATCGTTATTAGCAAGTGTACGTAGGCCATGCATATTTCCCAGTGACATTTACTACAAGCGTTGTGCTAGAACTGTCCAAGAAAAATTTAGTGGTGTGCCGGATTTTTGGAGATGGGGAGTCTGTACTCTCATATTTTATAATGGCTGGTTTGGACTGAAATCATTGCCCCAGAAAAGTCTTTCTTCTAGAAATTTAATTAGTAGAGATTCAGACCTTAACTCCTCATGAACGTCATGTGAAATATATCAACCACAAACGATGATATATTCAGATATCCAGCTTGCATACATTATAAGAATACTGTATCTTGACGAAAGTCGAAATACAGATGATTTCATTGTTGTGCGTAGCCTGCTATGTGGTACATGTCATTTTGTGTGGCCAAGTGTACATGAAAGCGGTGTTAGGAGTTTGCAAATGATACTAAGGGGGGATAACCACAAAACCGGAAGCCTCTCACACGCACGCGCAACTCATGTAAACATGAAATATGGCCTACAAGGCAAGGTGAGACGAGTTTGCCGACCCGCCCCTTTTGATCATCATTTGATATAACGAAACAGTGATTTGTCATTTCACAATGTCATTCGGATGACTTTAATATATTCATTTTGCAGGATACGAGAGTTTGAAGAACTACTGAAATCGGACGAAATTGACTTCAAAAACTTGCGGAAGTTATGCTTTGCTGGTAGGATTATTTACATCACATGACTTCAAAACCATTTAATAACAGATAGCACAAAGCTTGGTGTTGTAATTTAAGTCTGTAATTTCTTCATGTACATTTAGAAGTGTTTCCAATCTAGGGTGTTGTATTTCCCACTGTATTAATCGCTATGCCAATTTACAGTGCTTCAAACTCATTATCACATTGTCAGCACTATATTTTGAACTTCACATTCGTGGGACTAGGACAAGTGATTCAGTTCAAGTGACATTGATAGCCCAAGTAAGAGGAATGTATGGCCAGGACGCCCTGTTTTCCTTAGAAATTCGGGTCATATGTTTTGGCATGTGTCAAGATCCTGGAACCCTATGAAATCTGAAACACTGAATATATTCAACAGGTACATTGGGTTCATTCTATACAATGTCAGGGGTGATACGGTCATGTTGGGGTATCCTACCCTGACCCTAACACAACAAACCAAAAGGGTCAAACAATATGCCAGATCAGTTAATGTGAGCACTGGTGGGGCACTCTAATCAGCCAGTAAACCAGTCTCACCAAATACACATGTGCTTAGCCAGAGCTCAGTATGTTCTAAGTCTTTGTTGATTACTCTTCCTGGTCCAATATCTCTTTATCATCAAACACGTCTTCATGTTTAATTCTATAGCCAAGCTTTGTGTTTGAGCTAGTATAGTGTGGGACACTATAATCAGATGGTAAACTACAGTCTTACCAAACATAGCCTGAGCCGTGAATTATACTCTTAGTCTTTGAATACATTTCCTGGTCAAATATCTCTTTATCAATCACGTCTTCATATTTGATTCTATTGCTGTGATAACTGACAGAAGGGTATTAGGCCTGTTGCTTCACAGATATAAGTTTGTATATTTTGACATGTTCCCAACGTAAACGTTTATCCATAAATTGAGTGAGGACATGGCTGTTATATTAGAAATAGTATGTGCATTACATCATGAACTTACAAGGGCTGGTGAATATTTAGAACATATGCTGTGTGTATTTTTAAAAATAGATTAACCAAATGATATGGATGTCCTTATTTATTTTATGCAGGATGTCCTTTTGAGTCAGGAAGTGGAATTCGCTCAGTATGTTGGAAGGTATGTATTACAACTAAAATTTAAAGTCACGTTGGCAATATTTCAGCCATACTGTGACTGTAACAATAGTAATTTTGTATACTGTAAGAAAACTTTAATCAGAGTATATAGAAAGTGGTGTAAAACCATACTCACTCATTACACCAAGATGTCACTTCTGAGCAAAAGAACGGGGATTGACTGGGCGCGAGTGGTCTTCAGCTCTAAGTTTCACTCTACAGAGTTGTGTCCCTTGTCCACGATCTGTTGATCCTGATGTTTCAAATATCCATGTTTTACCGAGCCACTCCAGGTTCTCCTCCCATATTTATCTGACAGGTGAAATAATTCTCAAAATAGCAGTAAACTTCACTCATTCACTCCTGTAACAGGACCACCTCCGTGGTGTAGTGGTCAAAGCGTCTGCTCAGAGAACGGAAAGTCGTGGGTTCGATCCCCGGCCACGTCATACCAAAAGACATTGAACAAATGTACTTGTTGGTCCCTGCCTTGTGCTGGGCATTAATGGGTACAACAAGGACTGGTTGGCTTGGAGTCAGTATAATGTGTCTGAGTGGGGTATTCATGCTTCACTGCGGCATGGTATCTCATTGGGCTAGCACTATAAAACCAGCTTAAGTCTGGGCTAGTACAAGCAGCCACACACAAGCATGCACATCGTCATATGATTGAAATAATCTTAAGTGTGACGTTAAACCTCATTTCACCTCAACTGTTACCAGCGTCATAGCCGGTGGTGGATTCAACACTTCAAGACTGATGGATATATAATATGAGTATGTTGACATAAATGACTATTGTCACTGTGACCTGTTAGGGATTAAAGCTTGGGCGGACATACCCATGACTGATATCATTAACGGTCCACATCATCATTGGTTAGGATGTCAATTATCCTGTCAGGTGAACAATTATTGTACAACTGCAATAGCCCAGCTCCACAAAGTGATCTCCAAATGTCTGAATCTGTTTTGAAGAATGGGATTCATAACACTTGTAACAGTGTCGTAATATTAATGGTGAAGTAATATTGGTAAATTTGTAATCAAACAATTCTCTCTCAGAGCTCCAGATAAGATTTAGCTCATGTGGGTACTGTACCCACTGTATTTTTTTGGAGTGGGTATTATGAATGTTGAGTGGGCATTTCATTTTCGGTTACCCACTGCTTTCAAATATGTGTGTATTTCAGTCATTTTACTCACCTAAGTATCGTCATTGAATGTTGTATTAAGTTACTTATTTTAGTGGTAATTTTAAAAATTGACAAGACTACATGGCGGTCAATTATTGGAAAATCATTAATTGCGGAACTGCCATTTGTCTCTTTAATGCCACTAATAACTTATACTGTATATGAAACTCTTTGCAATTTCAAACAAGCGGTTATTTGTGAATGAGATGATTGAATCTGTTAGTGACTATTAAACTTCATGATGTACTGGTGAATAAAATCTTAATGAATACTGCTGTATTATTTCTTTCCGATGGTTTCCGCGGTAATCTGTTTTGTATCAAACCATCTGTCATGTGACCAATTTCCATGGCGCTACAACACACATTACTGTTTTAGCTCAATTCGGCAATGGGATTTGGCTCATTATTTAATTATGTTTGGAAATCCATTACAGCGACAGTTAAGTGTGATCAGTCATTTTAAGATTCCGTTGATTTCTGTCTTCAAAGCGTGATGTTTATGGTAACAACTCAGGGCGAAGCGGCTCGATCTGTGAGTTTATTTCATAAATTTTTTACTGCTTTTAGGAAAGCGAAAAATAAAACCTGTCAATATAATCGTTTACAGTAAGTTTACTAAGCAGGTATGTTCTGCCTTATGTCATACCTAATCAAAACCAACTTAAATATAATGGAAATGATTTCATAAAAAGTCACTCATCCTATACTGACAGTACAACACTAGTCCTATACTAACAGTACAACTTGATAGCAATCGATGTCTTTTTCATTACGCAAGCGATTTTTATAAAAATATGTTTTAAATATTTGTTTTAAATTTTTTGCTTATCTAACATTTTAAATGCGTAATTGGTACGCAACAATTATTTTTCAATGCGTAATTTGAAATTTTCTATGCGTATTTTACCCGGATACGCAGCTTATCAGGGCCTCTGTCTCTCTCACTACCTGGATCTCATAATACCCGTGTTGCTGTGTTTACAGATTCTCCTGAATTATCTGCCCCTGAAACGGGGAGGTTGGCCAGATTTCTTGAAGAAACAAAGGTAAAGTTTTCTACGTTAATCTGTTCCAGATGTTTTACCATCACGATATAATGGCATGAATATAGAACTGGCTACCAATGTCTGAGATGTATCATGATACTTGTTTATCTACATTAGTAGTGCATTTGAATAAAATATGCAAAATAAAATCTCCCCATAACCTACTTTTTTTAGTTTCTTGCATACAGGATTTGTTTGAAACGATTAAAATCCCAATAGTGTGACAACACTGTACATAATTATAACCATTTCATCTTCAGCTTCACATTTATTATCCAATTTATGATGAAATAAAATGCTGATATTTCTTACTCAAGCGGAATATCAATGTATTTATTTCTGTCTGAGCAAAATGACAGTGTGTGTTTTCAAAGTAAGATCATGAATACCAATTCATGTAAATAAATCATGAATTTTACATTTGCCATTTCTTGTCAAATTTATCTCATCTTTATCCATCAAAGTTGAAATTGTGTGTTATGTTGCTTTACAGCTGTGCCCACTGTGAAAATATCAACAGGTCACTCAATCAGATTTGACACATTGACAAGAAATGATAGTTTTTCCATGTGTTTTCGGATCTTAATTTACTGATTGAAAGTAGGCGTTACCGTTACATGTCTCGATACAAATTTGCAGCTGTGAATTATGCATGCCACGTCTTGCTAATTACAACGTAGATGTTGTTTGTGCTTTATTTGTGTCGTTTAATGTCACTCTCGGCAATATTCTCCTTCCATTCTCGGCAATTTCCTTCCATTGTTGGTACGGGTCTCTCTCAGTTCATCTCAAAGCTAAAATAGACAAAAATGTTAACAGTGCAAGTAAAATCGCTGGGGTCAAATTTGAATGTTTATCATCAATATATGAGTGGCAAATCGTGAATCAAACTGTCAAAATTACATCTGACTCAACTCACTACTTACATTCGGTATACAACCTCCTCCCTTCAGGCCGCCGCTACAAAGTTCCAATTGTGAAACCAAGAGAGCCTGTACATCCTTTATTCCAAGTACCTCTCTTAAACAAATGTGAAGATACTTAAATTCATGAATTTATTATAAATACGTATTTGTATCTCTTTGATGTATCAACACAAATTCCTGACAAGGGAATGAAGTATTATTCTGTTCTTCTATTCTATTCCATATATATGACAGTGTTCTGTAAATAAATGAGTCTGGTCCAGACAATCCAGTGATTGACGTTGGGAGCATCAGTCTATGCAGCTGGGCCATGATGACATGCATCAACCAATATATGTGGATCTTTTGTGTGAATGTGATGTGTGACCGACTAGGGCAGCACATTAGCACATACTAATTCAGAGATGCCAACCCTTACGCTTTAGGCCTAATTATTATGATTTTGACCATTAAATTACGCCATTACACTTAATCTGTGACAATTACGCTTTTCTACTCGTTTTAGGAAAATCAATAAAGTGGATAAATTGTCTCAGGGAAGTGTTTCATAACGCACAGGTGCAGGGGTGCAGAAATGGCCTTGCACCGATAGGAATCGCTTACTCTTAGCATCGCACTCATTCCAATTAACTTGCAAGGAATTAAAGAATTTTGAGTCGCATGACCAACAATTTTCGATGTATGGAGCTTCATAATGTTTGGTCACATGTGTTTCTGCCTAGAATCCTCCTTTCCTGAAAACTTGTACCATGTTGAAGTGATCGGCAGACAAGTATTACACTTTTTAGGTCCAAAATAGGGTTGGCATCTCTGCTAATTGGAAGCCATCCAAAACAGCACATTAGGAAGAATTATTAAAAAAATGTCTTCCCACCAGATTAAGAATACCCAATGGAGTAGAAATATATTAAGTATCTAAGGAAAAATATCTGTATCCAATGTGAATGATAATTAGTAGAGGCTGTAACATGTACATGAGATGGCTCCCTCTGATAATGTGGATGAATATTTGATGACCTGGAGCCATATATATAAACAGGGATGTTTTTGATACATTGCTCATGTATTAGTTGTAGACGTTATAGTGAGTGAGTGAGTTTAGGTTTACGCCGCACTCAGCAATATTCCAGCTATATGGCGGCGGTCTGTAAATAATCGAGTCTGGACCAGACAATCCAGTGATCAGCAGCATGAGCATCGATCTGTGCAATTGGGAACCGATGACATGTGTCAACCAAGTCAGCGAGCCTGACCACCCGATCCCGTTAGTCGCCTCTTACGACAAGCATGGGTTACTGAACGTTCATTCCAACCCGGACCTTCACGGGTTGAAGATGTTATAGAAATTCATGTGATGTCTGAAATATATTTTCCATGCAACCCTGACCATCTCCATGGTGTATTGGGTTCGATCCCTGGTCATACCAAAAGACGTTAAAATATGGTACTTGTTGTTCTGAGCCTGGCGCTTGGCATTAATGGGTACAACAAGGACTGGTCGGCTCAGAGTCAGTATAATGTGTCTGAGTGGGTTATTCATGCTTCGACCGCCTCCGTGGTGTAGTGGTTAGACCGTCCGCCCGGAGAGCGGAAGGTCGCGGGTTCGATCCCGACTGTGTCATACCAAAAGACGTTAAAATATGGTACTTGTTGGTCCCTGCCTGGCACTCGGCATTATTGGGTACAACAAGGACTGGTCGGCTCGGAGTCAGTATAATGTGTCTGAGTGGGGTATTCATGCTTCACTGCGGCATGGTATCTCGGTGGGCTAGCACTTTAAAACCAGCTTCAGTCTGGGCTAGTACAAGCAGCCGCACATTGACATACACACGCATGTACGTCGTCATATGAGCGAAATATTCTTATTGTGACGTTAAACCCCAATTCACCTCACGTCACCATGCAATCTTGTAGTTTATATGATACCACGACAAGCAACCATTAAAAATATGTGTAAAAATGTAAATACATAGGTACATGCTCTGTTTTTAAACAGTTTTATATGGTCATAATTCTTATTTCATGAGTCCTTTAATTAATTTGAAGACTGTTTGCGTAGTGTGTGTTACCCAGACTGTGTTGTTCCATTACAGAGCTCTATATCGGCAGTTTGTACAGGAGATGATCATTGATCCGGGCAGGAAGGCTAATGCTGGTGTTCACGAGGATCACGTGAGTGGGGCGTTATCCAGGAACTGTAGTCCCATTTTTATAAAACAGTTAAACTTATAACATGTGCAGTGTTGTAAACTCCCGAAAATTTCGGCCAGACAACTGGTCTGGTAACTATCAAAAGTTACCAGACCGGCTGGAAAGTTACCAGTCCAGAATTTTCAGGATTAACAGTGATTTTGAAGCCTATAAAAATCAGTAGGACAAATGTCCTGAGTGGGTGTCTGGCGATAGGCCATTGATCTAAAGCTCTTTTTGACATTTTTTAAAATCCCAATGGCATCATATAACTAAATTGTTAATGACATTTAATGTTGCAACTTGGATTCTAGATATACAGCAAAATTAAAAGATCTAATCCCACTGTTGATAAATATGAAATTTATTTTTCTAACATTTTTCAAATAATACAACTACAACTTAAATAAATTGAGTTTTTAATGAACATGCAAGCATTTATAATGTCCAGAAATATCACAAAAGAAGCAAAAACTATGACGATTTCTTTCTATTTGTGACTTGTCATAACATCCCCGTGCCTTTTTCTTTTATATTTTCATTTTTACGTAATCAGAAAATTATTAAAAGCCACTGATATCGGGAAATAGGCGACCATACATATTATTTAAGAAATCTTTAAAGGTCACATGCAACGTAAAACACAACTTTGCAGATTCTGATACCTTTCGGTATGGACTTACTGAAACAAAGCGTCAAAAATGCAAATTCAACTTATAAAGTTGAAAAATAACGCAATGAAAAAAAACGCGCGAAATCGGAGAGCAAACGTTTCACTAATTTTCCCCAGACTTTTCTGGGGAATACGGGTTTCAACAGCTGGGCTGCGCTCATAGCATGTGCGCAGTGAAATAGGTTCGCGCAACTTGGAAGCGGGCTGTCTGGTGAATAATTGGTGAAGGCTTTGGTGTGAGCTATTTTCATAATGTTTTGTTGATATCTCACAGGCGCGAGCTTTTTATATGTTATGACAGTAAATAAACTGTTTATATAATTTCATTTGTCTATTTCACCACACGTTCTTCTTACCGAGTCACTTTCTCAGTTAGATACTTAAAAGCAATGTCATTATTTAGCGTTGACACAATTTCTAACTGTGATATAGATATGTAAGCTGTCACAGACAAAACTCAATGTCTTGTTTTATTGACACCTGTGTGTCTGCCTGCCTGTCTGCTAATGACAATATTCAATACACAACTGCGATCACTGACCACATGCAATTTGAACTTAACACCAATCAGGCTATACACCATAAACAAAAGCGCATTGATTTATGGCCCGAGTTCAGTCTCTGTCACATTATGTAATTACACAGACAGGCAGGTGTGATACTTGAACACATGACATGTTATGATGTCTGTTGATTGCAAAATGTTATACACAAAATGAGCATGTATTTACAAAACCCAACATCTCTATATATACACACACAATGAGCCGTGAAGGCAGCATCAGCTAATGAACCAGCCGTTACACTTGAGTGCACACCCACCCGCTCTGACTGGGTTCGGTATCCCGGCTGTTTCGTTTCGAGGGAGGTAAACCCAAGTACAAAATATTGCACTTTTGATTTGCGATTGTACGCTTATAATTTTGTTTATTTGTTTTTTCATAATCAGCAATGCATATTATATGTCATGAAGAGGTGATAATTGTGTTTTAATTATGTTTGAATTTTTGGTTGCATGTGACCTTTAAGATTTCTTAAATAATATGTATGGTCGCCTATTTCCCGATATAGATTTCTTAAATAATATGTATGGTCGCCTATTTCCCCGATATCAGTGGCCGCTCGGTAACATGACACAACAACGGAAAATACCTCCGTTTTCGAAGCTTCGTATGAATAACATGCGAGGCGAATCGTTTGATGGCGGGTATCGTTCGAAAGCTCTGAACATCAACAAAATCACTATACCCTAGCTGAGAGTATTTGGATAAAGATTGGTTTCTAATGACGCTTTTTCGCCACAGTCTGCTATAAGAGTCGTGATTGGTCAAAATCAGACACGTGACATGAGGCAGCCAATCATATTACGGCAATGGATACTGTCCTCGTAAACGAAAATGTTTATATTTAGACGAAAGTTTTGGGTAAAATAATGCTATTCGGAACATATTAAGCACAAAATTGCTATGTATACGTAAATTATGGAACTTATTGGACGTTTCGTGCTAGGTTATGACCTGTGACAAAAATGCTTCATGCATGATCGTACAAAAAGATGGAAATAGTAGTTTTCTATGTACGTTTGACAACTTTTATGAATGCTATTGTTGATTTTATTCATTAGTTTATTCAATTTATTTAATGATTTCCTTGAAACATTGTTACATGCAGGTGGGGTCGGGAAAGACCGTTTCTGATTGTCCAATGCTTAAAATAGCAGCCAATCGCGCAATCCATTACATGTACATTTGGTAGCTTAGTGTGATAAAAATGGATGCGTAAATACATACACGCCGCGGAAACATGATCAAGATTTCGTGGTTAGTTTTTGATGAATTCGTAAATGATAATGTTCGTAATTTATTAGGTCCAATATGTGAAAATAACATCGAAATTATCGATCGGCACAATAACACGTTTTTATATGTTTTTAGTCATTATATACATTACAAAATTACGCTGATTCAACAGCCAGACCATCGGGCGTGCAACTTTTTAAAACTGACCGTCCGGTCGCAAAACAGACCGTCCCGGACGGTCGGGCAGGCGGGAGTTTGCAACGCTGAACATGTGCTATATTTGGGATTACCAGAGCTCCAGATAAGATTTAGCTCATGTGGGTACTGTACGAACTGTACAATTATTTTTCAATGTGTAATTGGAATTTTTCTATGCGTATTTTACCCGGATACGCAGCTTATCTGGGCCTGGAGTAACTATCTGGGCCTCAGTAAAGTACATATTCTGTTACTTTTGTTAGATTGAGTCCCTTCCGGTATTACCGCCATATAGCTGGAATATTGCTGAGTTCGGCACAAAAAACAAACAAACAAAACAAACCCATTTGGGATTCGAACCCACACTCTCCGAGTTAGACTGCCACCACAGTATAGTGGAGAGATGAGGCGTCCGGCAGAGGGGAGTGTCTGTGGCTTGATCACTGTCTGTGGCATACCGAAAGATTTTTAAAAGATGGTACTTTTTGTTACCCTGTCCCCTACGTGATTCAGGGGGGATTGAACAGTGACTGGTTGACTTTGAGTCAGTATACTGTGTCTGAATGGGGTATCCATGTTATACTGCAGCATGTTAACTGTCATCGGGCAAGCTCTATAAAGCCAGCATTTGTCTGGACTAGAACTACCAGCCCGTTTCCCATATGCCATGCCAAAGAGTTAAATGAAAAACAAGTGTTTTGCTTTTATCCTTTTTGAGACATTTGGAAATTAGATATTTCACATTATTAGAAACATTGTTTTCTAAGAAACTGAAGCTTTCTGATAAAATTATTTTTGTCCGTAGTTGAAGACTGTTTTAATATTTTTGGGGGCATTTTTTACCCTAGGATTGTTTGAAAAAATGTCTTAGATTTTTGAAACTTCGTCTTGTAAACATAGACTGAGTCCAGTTTGAAGGAAATCCGGGAGCAACAGCAATGTCAGGTCTGCTTATGTTTATTCAGCCCCTGAACCCGAACCCTGACAGTTCCTGGCAGGCCATCTTCAAGGACAACGACATGCTAGTGCAGATTGACAAGGACTGCAGGTATGACGAGATCTACCATTCAACAGGACCCTTGCAAGGGGCATTGTTGAAAACTCTAGTTATACTAACCTGAAATTCTAATAATGTTAGTTAATACACAAAGAAAACATTACATAACTGGGTTTATGCTTTCCTCCAGGTATTTATGTCCTATATAATCAAAGTGAGTGAGTATGGTTTTACACCGCTTTTAGCAATATTCCAGCAATGTCACGGCAGGGTAAACCAGAAATGGGCTTCACACATTGTATCCATGTGGGGAATCAAACCCAGGTCTTCGGTGTGACGAGTGAATACTTGAACCTCTTGGCTACCCCACTGCTCTCTATATAATCAGAACCTTTCCCAAACTCAGACCGCCAGACCACCGTTTAATTAATATGGGTTTGAGCCTTGAGAATTAACTCACCAGTCTGTGATCAATGCTAACACTTTGTACAAAACTGTTTTAAAAAATTGATAAATTGATTAAGACGTCCATGTTTGCGACTAATTTGATATATATTTTTCAGACGCCTGTGCCCTGATTTATTCTTCTTCCAACGAGCGACAGACTACCCCCATGAGGACATCGTCAACTGTGATTCCAACATCGAGACACTGCGGAAGAGAGTTGAACAGTGTGTGCTACACTCCGAAACAGTCTCCAGGAACAGACTTGGCATCACGAATGTAAGTGTGCATAGCTCATAACAAGGAGGGGCAGAGGGGTAGCCTAGTGGTTAAAGCATTCGCTCGCCATGCCAAAGACCCGGGTTTGATTCCCCACATGGGTACAATGTCTTAAGCCAATTATTGGTGTTCCTTGCTAAAAGTGGTGAAAAGACATAGTCTCTCACACATAACAAGGACACATTGGGGTTACCTGGAGTAGGGGTGGCCAAACATAGTGACCTCTAAGGTTACCAGGAATAGGGGTGGCCAAACATAGCGACCTCTAAGGTTACCCGGAGTAGGGGTGGCCGAACATAGTGACCTCTAAGGTTACCCGGAGTAGGGGTGGCCAAACATAGTGACCTCTAAGCTTACCCGGAGTAGAGGTGGCCAAACATAGTGACCTCTAAGGTTACCAGGAGTAGGGGTGGCCAAACATAGTGACCTCTAAGGTTACCAGGAGTAGGGGTGGCCAAACATAGTGACCTCTAAGGTTACCAGGAGTAGGGGTGGCCAAACATAGTGACCTCTAAGGTTACCCGGAGTAGGGGTGGCCAAACATAGTGACCTCTAAGGTTACCAGGAGTAGGGGTGGCCAAACATAGTGACCTCTAAGGTTACCAGGAGTAGGGGTGGCCAAACATAGTGACCTCTAAGGTTACCCGGAGTAGGGGTGGCCAAACATAGTGACCTCTAAGGTTACCAGGAGTAGGGTGGCCAAACATAGTGACCTCTAAGGTTACCAGGAGTAGGGGTGGCCAAACATAGTGACCTCTAAGGTTACCCGGAGTAGGGGTGGCCAAACATAGTGACCTCTAAGGTTACCAGGAGTTGGGGTGGCCAAACATAGTGACCTCTAAGGTTACCAGGAGTTGGGGTGGCCAAACATAGTGACCTCTAAGGTTACCCGGAGTAGGGGTGGCCAAACATAGTGACCTCTAAGGTTACCAGGAGTTGGGGTGGCCAAACATAGTGACCTCTAAGGTTACCAGGAGTAGGGATGGCCAAACATAGTGACCTCTAAGGTTACCAGGAGTAGGGGTGGCCAAACATAGTGACCTCTAAGGTTACCAGGAGTTTGGGTGGCCAAACATAGTGACCTCTAAGGTTACCAGGAGTTGGGGTGGCCAAACATAGTGACCTCTAAGGTTACCAGGAGTTGGGGTGGCCAAACATAGTGACCTCTAAGGTTACCCGGAGTTGGGGTGGCCAAACATAGTGACCTCTAAGGTTACCCGGAGTTGGGGTGGTCAAACATAGTAACCTCTAAGGTTACCCGAAGTTAGCGTGGCCAAACATAGTGACCTCTAAGGTTACCAGGAGTTGGGGTGGCCAAACATAGTGACCTCTAAGGTTACCAGGAGTTGGGGTGGCCAAACATAGTGACCTCTAAGGTTACCAGGAGTAGGGGTGGCCGAACATAGTGACCTCTAAGGTTACCAGGAGTAGGGATGGCCAAACATAGTGACCTCTAAGGTTACCAGGAGTTGGGGTGGCCAAACATAGTGACCTCTAAGGTTACCAGGAGTTGGGGTGGCCAAACATAGTGACCTCTAAGGTTACCCGGAGTAGGGGTGGCCAAACATAGTGACCTCTAAGGTTACCCGGAGTTGGGGTGGCCAAACATAGTGACCTCTAAGGTTACCAGGAGTTGGGGTGGCCAAACATAGTGACCTCTAAGGTTACCCGGAGTTGGGGTGGCCAAACTTAGTGACCTCCAAGGTTCCCAGGAGTAGCGGTGGCCAAACTTAGTGACCTCCAAGGCTCCCAGGAGTAGCGGTGGCCAAACTTAGTGACCTCCAAGGTTCCCAGGAGTAGCGGTGGCCAAACTTAGTGACCTCCAAGGTTACAAGGAGTAGGGGTGGCCAAACATAGTGACCTCTAAGGTTCCCAGGATTAGGGGTGGCCAAACATAGTGACCTCCAAGGTTCCCAGGAGTAGCGGTGGCCAAACATAGTGACCTCTAAGGTTCCCAGGAGTAGCGGTGGCCAAACATAGTGACCTCCAAGGTTCCCAGGAGTAGCGGTGGCCAAACAAAGCGACCTCTAAGGTTCCCAGGAGTTTGGGTGGCCAAAGATGGTGACCTCCTAGGTTCCCAGGAGTATGGTTGGTTTGACTTTTTTGTTAAGATGATGTACATTGTGATGAAAACTGACAGACATAATGACCACTTTTCGCATCTTTTCATTTTCCATCTGCAGATGATGTCAAGTCGGAGGAAGTCGAGCGAGGAGTACGCGGCACTGCCCGAGGGCCAGGAGGCACACTGGGAGGTGGTAGAGAGGATCCTCTTCATATATGCAAAACTTAACCCTGGACTGAAATACGTGCAGGTACTAGCTCCTGTCTCTGATATATCTAGCCCAGTATGTGTAGACGACTGTGTGATAAGATTGCATTGTTTGTAAAAGTGTCATGCTAATACCAGATTTCATGTCATGTAAAACAAGGTTGCATACTAGATAAAGTACTGTTAACCCATCACAGGGTAGCCTTGTGGTTAAAGCGTTTACTTGTCAGAGGCTCCGGTTTGATTAGCCAGAATCTCTTCTTTGGGTACAAGAATTGAAGCTGCAATTATACAAACAGCGATGTAAAACCATTCTTGTTAGATCTGGGTTAGAATTGATCTTTAGCAACCCATGCTTGTCGTAAGAGGCGACTAACGGGATCGGGTGGTCAGGCTCGCTGACTTGGTTGACACATGTCATCGGTTCCCAATTGTGTAGGTTGATGTTCATGATCTTAATCACTGGATTTTCTGGTCCAGACTTGATTATTTACAGACAGCCACCATATTGCTGAGTGCGGTGTTGAACAACAAATAAACAAATAAACATTCTTGTTTGCTTAACATGCACAAACATGTTGGAGGAGCTACCTCCCCTTTCTATTCACAAATGTTGGCTATTTGCTTTGCAGGGCATGAATGAAATACTCGGTCCAATCTACTACACCTTTGCTTCTGATCCTGATGTTGATTGTCGAGGTGAGAACAAACAGACGTTTATCTGGAGATTAATGGAAGATGAAAATTATACTTGTCCCCAAATGTCTGGTGCAGCCATGCTTAATTCCATCTCCAACCCCAGGTTACCTTTTCCATGCTCTTGTACTCTTGGAGTGAGCATTCTGGGTAGGAATACAGGTATACAGTTATTGTTTGTTATTCTTATGTTTTCAGAATATGCGGAAGCAGACTCCTTCTTTTGTTTCACAAATCTCATGGCCGAGATTCGGGACAACTTCATTAAAACACTGGATGACTCTCAGTGTGGGATAGGTAAATGTTTTTGAAATAGTGTGCAATCCACAAAGAAGATTTAGTACTAAGATCATTTTAACAAACAATCAAACAAACAAACACTGTAGGACATGTTTTGTATTACCAGTTGAATTACCAAGTGAATCTTTATTTCTTTATTATTATCATGATGATGGTTATGTTTTCGAGAATATGAGCTCCTGTGAACCTGTTTGTTTAATGCAGTTTGCAAATGTTCTTTAAGAAGCAGGTGAACTACAGAACCCTATTGCTCTGTATTGTGATTGTGTGCAGTTAACACCAAATTTATCAGTGTATAAAACAGCCCGTCCCGTCCTTGACGGTCTATTTTTGTGAAGGACAGTCTATTAAATAAGTAAGGCCGTCCTTTGGTCGGAGGAAATATTTGAAAAAATAAACTTAACTTGGTTTGAACTTTGTCTTATCTATTATTTTTTCATTGTTTTAGTTTTTGGGACTGGCTGTGTTTGTTCGGGACTGGTCACTGTTTTGGACAGCCAGTCCTTGGACAGGCCATATTTCAAAACTATTTTATACACTGAATTTATTATGATCAAAGTTCAGAATATGAGTCCCTCAGGGCCCTTGTTGTTTGATCTTTTTTGCTAATATTCTTAGACCTCATCTCTCCGATCTACACATTCGCTTCTTATCCTGATGTTGATCAGGGAATTACATGATGCGAATTCCTGCGTCCTACCCGCATAAAAATTGACAATGGACACAACAAAATTTATTAGCGCATCCACAGGGACACAGAAAAAGTCAAAATACTTTTTGTAAAAATTCCAAACAACTAACAATAGGTTATCAATGAGTTTGCTGTAGCTGGGTTATTGTATCACATGCAGTTTAATTACTGTAATAATTAAGTGATGATCATGATACACAATACAATAACCGTATTAATAATAATATCTAAGTGTCTGGGACTCCCATTTTGCTGTCCAGGACCCCTGAAAATTAAGAGTACCAAGGACCCTCATATACAGGACTCAAGGTAAATCCCTGAATATTGTCGAGATGAGAACAAACAGATGTTTCATGGAAGAGATTAATGGAAGATGAAAATCATACTGGTCCTCAAGCCTGCATGTCTGGTGTTGCCATGTGTAATTCCATCCCCAGCCCCAGGTTACCATTTCCATGGTCTGAGGGTGAGCTGTCTTTTCGTGTTAGTGTGTGTAAGTTATAGTTCATCTTTATGACTGCATCTTACATTTTTCTGTGTGCAGGTAACTTGATGATGAAGCTGTACAACTACCTGCAGGTCAAGGACCCAGCTCTGTGGCACCTGCTGAAGGAACAAGATCTTAAACCCCAGTACTACGCCTTCCGCTGGCTCACTCTACTGCTGTCTCAGGAGTTCCCTCTTCCAGGTGGGTACAGCACCCCAGGAGACCCATCAATGTGTCTCATTGTCAGTCGAGAGTTGACTTTCATGGAGGGAATTCTCTCCCTGATGTTCTGTGTGTATTAGTACCTTGTAACATAGCAAATTAGTTAACAATTGTTCATGGACAGTGTCTTGACATAATCTCACTTCTCAGTTCTTGCATAGTTGTGTAAGAATTTCGGGTGTCGTCTCAGGACGCCGACCTTTCGATTTTCCACTAGTCTCAGGATGCCGACCTGCGGTTTCCTTTGAAGGTTAGGTTCTGGTTAGGTGTAATTAGGGTTGCGGATAATCTACTCTAGATGTTTTGATGAGGTGAACTCGTTGCACTAGGTGAACATATTGCAATGGAACGCAATGGAACCATCACAACTGGGCCAAGAACCAACAACCACCTGGAAAGGTGGCATTCACGTCTGAAGAGATACGTCGGCAAGGCTCACCCAAACATCTTCAAGATTGTGCCTGAACCGAATTTCGCCCCTAGAAATGGTTCTGAACCATTTCCTTGCATAGTCTTATGAGAATATTACCGCTAGAAATGTTTTTAACCAGATGTTTGGGTTGCAAACTAGTTGTTTTGAGTAGTCTTGCGAAAATATCACCCCTCAGAACAGTTGTGAACCAGTACTTTTGGTAGTTGTGTGAATATCCCACATCTAAGGCTCACTGTATCATGGCTGAAGTATCATGTTATGTATCAATATGTGAGGTAATCATACGGCAATGCTAGTGTATCGACCAGGGCTTACACATTGTTCCAAGACATGCGCGCTACATTCCAATCTCATCAAGACATTTCTTTCAGATGTGTTACGGATATGGGACTCTCTATTTGCTGATGCCAGTCGCTTCGAGTTCCTCATCCATGTATCCTGTGCAATGCTCATGTAAGTGAATCCTTAAAACATTTCTCACTCTTTGTACAATTACAGATTTCATGTCCAAAATTAATTTAGTTTGAAAAGTCAAATGTTCTGGATTTTTCATATGTGACTAGGTTTTTTTCTATAAAGCGGTGACCGCCTCCGTGGTGTAGTGGTTAGAGCGTCCGTCCGGAGAGCAGAAGGTCGTGGGTTCAATCCCCGACCGCATCATACCAAAAGACGTTAAAATACTGTACTTGTTGGTCCCTGCCTGGCGCTCGGCATTAATGGGTACAACAAGGTCTGGTTGGCTCGGGAGTCAGTATAATGTGTCTGAGTTGGGTATCCATGCTTCACTGCGGCATGGTATCTCAGTGGGCTAGCACTATAAAACCAGCTTAAGTCTGGGCTAGTACAAGCAGCCGCACATACATACACACACACACACACATGCAAGTCGTCATATGAGCGAAATATTCTCAAGCACGATGTTAAATCTAAATTTTTCCTTATCCTGACTCATGCTCTTTTGCTTGTCCCCTTCCTCTTGCGAACATAGTGGAACACTTGTATCTCCTTAATTGAAGCTCCCTTCAATGTAAAATCACTAATTGGTACTCACCCACGAGTTACCTCCCCTGCCGTAAGCGCGGGAACAGGTGTCGCCACCCTCTGGCCTCATGCTTCACTCTCTCCTTCTTCGCCCAGTGAGCAGGATGTGAGAGCGCCTGTGTCTCCTTACACACTATATCCTTTGGTTTTTCTTAGTTAGTTACCTTTTATAGTTTACTATAAAGGTATAGCTAGTATCCTTCAGTTATTTGCGTTAATAATTAATCGTATTTCTACTGTTTATTCCACGTGAGTTAAGTGATTGTTCAGCTAGTTTTACATTGATGAAAAACTGTACTATTTGTAGATTACGTTTTCGCTGCGGATCCGCATGTGGTATGCCCTAGTTGTACTACGCCTTGTGCGTTTGACTCATCGTTGCAGTTACTGCATAAATTTAACCAATTCTGCCTTTGATAAATACCATCTTTGCGTCTTGAGGCGTGTTGCAGATAGGTCACGCCAAACTAGGTGTAGACATGGCCGATACGTCCGGATTGCCCATCCAGTCAACTGCTGTCGAAGTGATCCCTCCCGTCTGGTGTTCTGCTTGAGACCCCATCGGAAGAGGGGCGTGGGATGCAGTCCGTCACCTCTAAGAAGCGACCGGCCTCTCCAGACATCCAGTCATCGCATGAGACAAAGTCCAAGAGGGCCTCAACGTCTTCTCAACGCAGACTTCGTACCCCAGGGCAGCGTCTTCCTCCAAAGGAAATCTCACGAAGTCATCGAGAACTTTCTCAGACGAGATCGTTCCAGCAGCAGAATTGGGCCTCTACGATGACCAGCCGATCATCATACCCGACATACGCCACAAGAAGCGACCAGTGACAGCGACAGTGGCGTCAGCAGAGATCAACAAGCAGCCTGATGCCTCTACACTGATGTCAGACGAGATCGCTGAGGGCCCCACCGCTAACACAGCAGAAAGGGCACCATCTACTACGTCGCGAGATCATCCCAAACGATCTTATGAAACAGATCATGATTATGATGGAAGGCCACTATAGACTGGAGAAGCAGCCATCCCAGGGTCCGAAAGCCAGCTGAAGCTCCAACGTGGACAGCACCCCAGGGCACCATCTCTGTCAACGTAGCAGCCACGACAATGCAGCCTTCGCGAAGGAAGTCACAGACCACCTCGACGAAGGACCCAGATGTACAGCCTTCGCGAAGGCCTTCGCGAAGGCGGAAGAATCATCACCTTCTTCGGTCATACTCAGATATGGAATCTGATCACCAGACCACACGCAAGCCTTCGCGAAGGTCATATCATCGCTCCCCAGGACCGGTTAGCGATGCCTGGCGCCGCTGGCGCGTTCGGGCGGACACCTGAACCCAGATCGTCTTCATCTAAAAGATCAGCAAGGGACTACACAAGAGCTTCATGGCTATCAGTCCCTCATAGATCGCCAAGAAGGTCAACCTATCGATATAGATCACCAAGACGATCACCTCGCCGATCACCACGCCGATCACCGCATGGCGGGTCTGCACATAAGCCTACAATTAGATCTCCACAAGCGTGCCAAGCGATATAGAGATAGAGCCACACAGCCCTACATCAGAAGAGCAACAACCTCTTATCTATGATGATGGAATGGAAGATGATGGAGGAATTATTTTCTCAGATGCAGAGATAAGATATTGGATGGTCAATAATCTAGATCTCTCATCACCTTCCAAGAGTGGCAATAAGGCAGCGAGACTTATCTGATGAAAGAAGATGACGCAGATGCTATTACACTACCCCAATCGACCCGATTGGCGGCGTACCTCAGAACCTAGATACAGCATTTAACAAAGCCACAAAGGTTCAGGCGCCACATCTGCCAAATTTCAGCCAAGAAGTTCTCTCCACGCATAATATGGAACCCTTCTTCAAAGCGCAAGACATCGATGAGAACTATAAGCTGATCTCCGATGCCAAGAACAAGTACTACAAGATTGATGATCGGAAATTGGTTCAGATAGAAACCATGACGCAGGCGATGTTCTTCGGTCTAAATAGATCTAGAACAATAAATGAGACACTTATCTCCAGATTTCGAACACGACCTCTGAAGATGACAGAATGATTTACTCGCCCTACTGATGCAAAAAGAAGGACCAGCAGTTTTTAACAGATCATCTGGCGTCTGTCTCAGCAGCACTGACCTTAGCTCGTCGTCAAGGCCTCCTAGCTTCCTGCAACTGGGGTGAGAACTTTACAGCTCCACTATATACAGCCCCGTGGTCTTCCCCATCCATATTTGACGGAGGAATAGACACAGTCTCCAAAGAAGTCACCAAGGATTCTAGAGAAGTCCTGATGATTAAATCGATGGACACGCTAGCCAGTGTCATTCGACAGACTTCACAAAGATACTCAGGGAGATCTAAATTCACGGGCCTACAAAGAGCTAGAGACAGGAAGATTGCCAGTTCCAGGGGAAGAGTTTCTTTTCGTCGCCCATATGGCAACTATAGAGGAGGGTCAGGACGAGGCAGGACACCCAGAGGTTCCCGCAACTATAAACGCTGAAAGACAGGTTCGGAACGACTGGAGTCTTCCACCCCCAGCCGTTCCAGTACAACCGTCACAAGTGGGTGGACGTCTTCAACTACACTGGGAAAACTGGGGAATACTTCAAGACACCTATGTCTCCAACATTCTTCAACGCTGATTTCGTGTATCCCACTACAGGCCAAGCCTCCACTAACAGTCAACCCTCACAAGTTCGAGGTAGAGGCACAACAACTACTAAAGTTAAGAGAGGCGGTTACATTACTCCTAACCAAGCAGGCCATAGAAGTAATAGAGCAAGGAAACATCGAACCAGGTTTCTACTCCCCAGTTTTCCTAGTACCCAAGAAGAACTCCAAGGAGAAATACAGACTCATTTACAACATGAGCTTCTTCAACAAGACTTACTTAAACAAACCACCCAGGTTCACTATGCTACATCTACCGCAGCTTCGACAGATGATTAAGCCCCATGGACTACATGGGCAGTATAGATCTACAAGATGCTTATCTGCACATCCCAATACATCCCTATCCAGGAAATACCTTCGGTTTACGCGCTAGACGGGTTACATTACCAGTGGAAAGTACTCCCATTCGAATAGCATCAGCCCCATGGTTATTCACGAGGATAACGAAACCGATTGTTATCTATCTACATCGTCAAAGGGCTACGCGAGTCGCGTTCTTCCTCGACGACGGGATACAAGTAGATCAAGATCCACAGCATCTCAAACTACAGTTAAACTACATCATAAAGCTACTAACACAGCTGGGATGGTTAGTAAACTTACACAAGTCGGACCTAGTACCATCGCAAGATCTGCAATTCCTAGGAATCCGATTTATCACCAATCTCAACCGTATAGTCGCATTGCCAGAAGACCGTTGGCTCAAGATCCAACAGATCATTCCACCAGCTCTACTGTCACGCTACCACTTCGACAATGGCAGAGCTTACTAGGTCTTCTAACATCAGCCCAAGACTTGACAGTCATAGGCAGATTACAGTTACGTCCGTTACAGGTCTTCGCCAATACACATCTCGACGACCTACAACCATTCAGTCTACCGATACATCTCAGACCTCATCTATTATGGTGGACAAAGAAATCGAATGTCTGCGAAGGGATTTGTTTAGCAGAGCAGGAATTCAAGACCCATCTATATGTAGATCGCGATAAGCTCCAAGGTTGGGGAGCTCATCTCTCCAACCGGACGGCATCAGGGTTATGGACTCAGCTAGAAAGCAAACTCCACATAAACGCATTAGAGATGAAAGCTGTAATCAACGCCATAAGACATTGGAGCAACATTCTACAGAATGCGCACCTGATGATACATACCGACAACTCGACAGTGGCGTTTTATGTGAACAGACAAGGCTCAACGAGATCGCTTGAACCTTTTGAATTTAACCTTTCAACTGTTCGAATTAATCCAAGATCTAAATCTACATGTCAAAGCATGCCACATTCCCCGAGCCAGGAATATACTAGCAGAGCGCACTCTCTCGCCACATCTACCGTCAGCCGACAGAATGGATGCTCAATACAGAGATATTTGCACAGATAATCAAGCAAATAGGAGCCGCTAGTAGATCTATTCAGCCACAAGGTTCAACAATCAACTACCGACATTCGTGTCACCAGTGCCAGACCCACAAGCATGGGCAACAGAGCGGCTCTAAGCATTTCATGGGAAGGCCTCAATGCGTACGCGCGTTTCTGCCCCAGCAATAATACCTCTAGTATTACAGAAAATCAACCAAACGCAGAGCCTACAACTCACTTTGGTTACTTCCTATTGGCCGGCCAGAGAACGTGGTTTCCGCCTTAATACAAGATATCGGTCAACCGGCACTAGAACTACCCAAGCGGCGCAAACCTGTTAATACATCCTCACACCAAACAGGTGCACAGAACCCAGAAGTATTCAAACTTCACGTGATGGACTGTATTAAAATGTGTTTAAACAAGAGAGGATATTCTACCAGGGCGCAAAGCGGTCACGCTTGCCTTCACGATACTCAACTGCAACAACGTAACTTGTCACGATGACAAGTGGCAAAGTTTCGAAAATTATGCAACAAACAAGGGTTTTACAGCGAGATGCTCACGATCCTCAAGTGGCAGACTATTTGTGTTACTTTACGGCAAAACAAACATTTAAAAGGCTCGACATTGTCAACATATCTTGCGGCGCTTTAGTTCTGTGATTTCTATGAGAACGGTGTTAAATTAACAAGAACACCAGAGTTACTGGCCTTACTCGTGCTTTCCGATTGGAGGACCAAAGCGGAAATTCCACGCAGCTTGGGATCTGAATGTAGTTTTACGACACCTCACAAGTGAGGATTACGAACCATTGGAATCGACAACGTTTGAATTTCTCTCACAGAAAACAGTCTTCCTGTTATCGCTAGCCACGGCAGCCAGAATATCTGAAATTCATGCTCTAGATTATGAGAGGATACAGTTTGATGAAAATCAAAGACAGCGCCTGGGATTAAGATGGGATTTCATCGCTAAAAATCAACTACCAGGTCAACCAGACAGGTTATTTCACATCCCTGCGCTATCCTCAATTCTTGGATCTCAAGATACATTGGACTTATCTCTATGCCCAGTACGAGCTCTCATAATCTATTTACGTCGTTCCAAAACAAGGCTTAAGATCGCTCAGAAGATTGTTCATCCCGTTATCGCCTACAAATCAGACAGAAGTCTCTCGTACCACCATATCAATATGGATAAGAACTGTCATTTTACGCCTATAAGGCAGCAGGACTGGACCCTCCAACAGCATCAAATCCTCATGAAATCAGGGCATTGGCATCCACCCTAAGCCTTTCATGGTAACTGTTCATTGAATACAATTATGGAAGGATGCTTTTGGAAATCTAACATGGTGTTTGCTAATCACTATCTCAGAGATATCACCACCGAGGACGTCTCTGGCATTCATCATTTCGGGTCCTTTGGTCCTCAAGCCAGCAATTGACAGTCCCTCAGTGGGCGTTAATATTCACCCCCACGAGATTATTAGATATATGATACATATATTCACTAGCTTTTAACTCCATGGAGTTCTAGGGCTATGTACATATTTAGCTTAGGTTATTCAACCTTAAGCTCATACTGAGTTATATTCAGTGTACAGCTACGTTAGAGTAGCAGTTTATATATATATATTGATATATCAGTATATTAGTAAGGTAATACCCCACTTATAGTGTATATATCTATGGCTTATTATAAGGAAATATCCTAAGTCTCAATGCCTTATGAAGTTCCCCAAGCAGGGTTATTACAATATCACTTACTTAAATCACTAATTAATCCAAAGTATTCTGTTTACCCACCACCTCTCCGGTGGATTCTACAAGCAAAAGAGCATGAGTCAGGATAAGGAAAAATATGTAATTTTCTGAGTAAAATTGATATTTTATACTTATCCTGACTCATGAGGTTAGCCCTCCCATCCTCCCCACATAACACTTTGGATTTCCCTGTAAATTCAAGTGTTGGGCTCGCAAAATCAGGAGAGAGTGAAGCATGAGGCCAGAGGGTGGCGACACCTGTTCCCGCGCTTACGGCAGGGGAGGTAACTCGTGGGTGAGTACCAATTAGTGATTTTACATTGAAGGGAGCTTCAATTAAGGAGATACAAGTGTTCCACTATGTTCGCAAGAGGAAGGGGACAAGCAAAAGAGCATGAGTCAGGATAAGTATAAAATATCAATTTTACTCAGAAAATTACATTTTCACCTCACCTATAAACAGGTAACCATTGATCAACATTAATAGTTTTGTATGCACTAATAAGACATGGCTTTTAGCCGTTAGGCAAATTTCATTGTCTTGTTCATTTGCAGTCAGCTCAAGGCAGATATTATTATACTCAATAGCACGGTATTCATAGATCTAAGGGAATTGTGTTCTTCAAAGCATGCCATTTTAGTAGAGATTTCCAGTGTCAAGGGAAGGGGTCAGCCCACATGTTGGCCAATATCTGGTGATATGCATTATTCAGTGAAGTGTTTATAGATGTGAACTATAAAGGTTTCTAGGTATGACATAGCATCAGGTCAGTCATGGAATCAGTATACTGTGTCTAATTGGGATATTAATGTTAAACTGCAGCACGGTGTTTCAAAGGGCTAGCATACTCACACCCATGCATGCTACTGTGTAGAGGCAATAATAGTGCAATACTTTCACCTTTGTCTTCAGGCTCCTCAGGGAAGATTTATTAAAAAGTGATTTTCCCCACAACATGAAACTACTTCAGGTGAGTACAGAATGTACAAAATACTGATTAGCAGATGGGAAAAGATCCCTTTGTTGTAAGGGTTGGCTAGAGTCCTCTCTCTAGAGTTATCTCCCATGCATAGTAACATAAACACCTTTACCTCTCTCACCTCATGTATGTAGAGTTACCTCCCATGCATAGTAACATAACCACCTTTACCTCTCTCACCTCATGTTTGTAGAGTTGTCTCCCTTACATAGTAACATAAACACCTTTACCTCTCCCACCTCCTATATGTAGAGTTATCTCCCTTACATCGTGACATAAACACCTTTACCTCTCTCACCTCCTATATGTAGAGTTATCTCCCTTACATAGTGACATACGCACATTGACCTCTCCCACCTCCTATATGTAGAGTTATCTCCCTTACATAGTGACATAACCACCTTAACCTCTCCCACCTCCTATATGTAGAGTTATCTCCCTTACATAGTGACATACACACATTTACCTCTCCCACCTCCTATATGTAGAGTTATCTCCCTTACATAGTGACATAGGCACCTTACCTCCTCACCTTGTGTGGAAGAGTTATCTCCCATATATAGTGACATAAACACCCCTCTCACCCTGGTTCCCTTGTCATGTTACGCAACAGACCCAGGGAACCATTCAGGACTTCTCTCACCTCGTGTACACAGACTTATGTCCAATACATGTACACCTTGCAGATCATCTGCACACTGTCAGTCACTTGTTTGCCTGTCCTAGGCTTGAATATTGGCTTCATTCATCTTCATGGAGAGATGCATTAGTTAGATCATGTCAAAGGTATTGTACACATGGACATAATGGGTGACATATTTTCTTGATGTCCCGATCATGATATAACCTTAGTCAGTGTATGAAATAAGGCCCGTCCGCCCACCCGAGATGGGCTAGATTTCTGACGGACGGTCTAAATTTACAGCTAGCCATCCTGATTGTCTGGTAAAAGTTGTAGATGTTTCATACATCTGAGTAAATTTACCATATCTTGGTGTCTGGTCTGGTTAAATCCATTTTGGGCTGGTAACATTTTGAAGTTGCCAGCCCTGATGTCGGGCTCGGTTTTGGGCTCATTTCATACACTGCCTTAATATTGCCAAATCTCACTCACTCTCCAATTGTCTACAGGCAAAAACTGAGCTGATATGAAATGCTCCTTGAACAGTTTATGTGAATGTGCACTGTTTGTATTTCAGAATTTCCCACCCTCTATTGATGTGCAGACAGTATTAGCTAAGGCTGTAGAAGTCAAGGATCGGCACCAGGGCTTGTGACACTTATGCAGGTAGTGTTGGACATCTAGACAATGTCATGTTGATCATGTCCTTGTTTAACAAACCACTCCAACATTTAAAGCTTCTTTGTTAATTGATCATCTGAGGACAATGTCCAACTTTTTGAAGAGTTGTACTGCCACTTAGGCCTTTATTTCTTTTCAGTTGGTTATTAAACTGACATCTAATTTACAAATAAATATACTATATTTACAATATATTTTACATTAATTGAAATACACAATGACATTTTAGAAAGTGGTCAAATCTAACATATGTTATATTTGGGATTACACTTCCTCAGTAAAGTACAGATTCTAGTACTTTTTTGGGTTGAGTCACATGCGGGATTCGAACCCACACCCTCAGAGTCAGGCACCTAATCCCCAGCACACAAAGTCAGATTTTTGTGGAAGCCGCGGTGGCTGAGTGGTCTAGGCATCTGACAATTAAGTGCCTGACTCTGAGGGACTGGGTTCGAATCCCGGATGGGACTCAACCCAAAAAAGTACTAGAATCTGTACTTTACTGAGAAAGTGTAATCCCCAAAACAACATATGTTTACATTTATTGACCAAACAACAACCAAAAGAATATAATATGTTGTTCCCTAAATTATGGAATCATTATCATGTATGTACTTATTTGTTGCCTCCAGTTTGAGTCATTTATGTCTGATTCTACCGAAACTAGTGCTGTACTAAACTATATTTGTTTTTCAATATTGATTACAATATTGTGCTAAGGCGATAATAGAAATACAATGTTTTCTTTGACAGGTGATTGACACAGCTCAGCATTTTCTTCAACTTGTCAACAGAATAAACCATCAATAGATGCCCCACTAAACTGATGCCGCACCCTACACATAACTGATAATTATAAGCCCTGAACATGTGGAGTCTCTCCCTGTACCCTAGTGCTACAGTCACCCTCAACATCTGGAGTCTCTCCCTGTACACCAGTGCTACAGTCACCCTCAACATCTGGAGTCTCCCTGTACACCAGTGCTACAGTCACCCTCAACATCTGGAGTCTCTCCCTGTACCCCAGTGCTACAGTCACCCTCAACATCTGGAGTCTCCCTGTACCCCAGTGCTACAGTCACCCTCAACATCTGGAGTCTCCCCTCAGTGCTACAGTCACCCTCAACATCTGGAGTCCCCAGTGCTACAGTCACCCTCAACATCTGGAGTCTCTCCCTGTACCCCAGTGCTACAGTCACCCTCAACATCTGGAGTCTCTCACATTTACACCAGAGCTACAGTCACCCTCAACATCTGGAGTCTCCCTGTACCCCAGTGCTACAGTCACCCTCAACATCTGGAGTCTCTCCCTGTACACCAGTGCTACAGTCACCCTCAACATCTGGAGTCTCCCTGTACCCCAGTGCTACAGTCACCCTCAACATCTGGAGTCTCTCCCTGTACCCACCAGTGCTACAGTCACCCTCAACATCTGGAGTCTCTCCCATTTACACCAGAGCTACAGTCACCCCTCAACATCTGGAGCTACAGTCACCCTCAACATCTGGAGTCTCTCCCTGTACCCCAGTGCTACAGTCACCCTCAACATCTGGAGTCTCTCACATTTACACCAGTGAGCTACAGTCACCCTCAACATCTGGAGTCTCTCCCTGTACCCCAGTGCTACAGTCACCCTCAACATCTGGAGTCTCTCACATTTACACCAGAGCTACAACCTCTTTTAAACCTATGTGAAAATATGTTCACCAGAATGTTTACATCCATCACCATCTGTCTTTCCTGTGCAATATTATGTGTTGACATTTGACACGGGAGATCACTGAAATGAGAATGCTTTCTTTGAAACTAATTTCAGTTAACATGTATTCTTCTATTTTTATCAATGAGCCTTTTCATCAAATAGCTATATTGTTTAATATATGGTACCATACTAGCACCACATGTACATTATAAGATTTATCAAGAGTGATTGAGCAATTTGACTCTGCACATTTTGCACATCCCACTGTTGATGGAGTTGAGAGAGCTCCTCAGCTGAGAATGATATTAGGGCTGGTGTAATCCTCCAAAGTTTCATGTTGTGTCAGAGATTTGTAGAAAAGCACTCTAACATTGGTCAGAAATACTCACGTCCATATGTCTATCTGCGCATACCTAGACGCTCGGGGGAGTGGGTAAGTGGAAGAGGGCCAGCAGAAGAGCTAAACGGAGTGGATTAGAGATTGTGGGTTATGGGGAGTGGGTTAGAGGGAGAAGTTTAGAGTAGCAGGTCAGTTGATGTGTGCAGCAGGTTAGAGGAAGTGGGTCAGGAGAAATGGGTCAGTGTGGGTTGGAGGGAGCTAGTATTGGGGGGAGGGCGTTACAGATGGTAGTAGGTGGTTAAAGCGCCAAAATCAGTCACGCTGAAGACCTGGTGGAGTTCGAGTCCCCACATGGGCACAATGTGTGAAGCCCATTTCTGTTGTCCCATGCCGTGATATTGCTGGAATATTACTAAAAGCGGCGTAAAACCATACTCACTCACTCACTCACTAGTTTTGGGGAGAGTAGGTTTGCTGGAAAGGTGTATGCTGTGGACAGGTGACCTTCAAAATGGACTTTTACCTTTAGTACAGTGACTGTCTGACATTACAACAGACTAAGTTGAGGCGGGATAACACTATCAAGCCTTACAACTAAGGTATTCTTTTTGAGCTGCATGTTCCTGCAAATAGGTCATTTGGGGCTGAGATTGTTTCTCAAGCGTGCTGATATTACACTAGTGCCAATACTCATCTATACAGACATGTCACGATAATTGAATTGGAATTTGAGATTTAACATTGATATATCTGAGATACGTCTGGAATTGTAATATGTCCTCATCACCGGTGATTGCTGTTTCTACATTTCTATTGTCAAAGAGCACCTTAAACTTCTGTAGTAGATGTGTTTTTGTAGATAGAACATTGAAGCCATTTCTTGTCCCCATTGTGATATGACGGCAATACTGGTTTTAGAAAGAAGTGTATGACGTGAAGCAGGTTGTGGTAACCATGGTTACCCCATGATTTCAATAAGTGGTCAAATGTAACACATGTTATATTTGGGATTACACTTTCTCAGTAATGAGAGGGGTACACAAAGTCTGTGGTCTCGACAACCAGTTGTGTGACTTCCATTTTGTGGAAGCAACAGTGGCTGAGTGGATTAGGTGCCTGACTCTGAGAGTGTGGGTTCGAATCCCGGATGAGACCCAACCCAACAATAGTACTAGAATCTGTACTTTACTGAGAAAGTGTAATCCCAAATATAACATGTCCTACCGGATGTAAGGATTGGATAATTGTTGTGCTATTGTCTGTACATCAGCTTCAGATGTCCAATGAGTAGACATTTTGATCAACATTGTTGTTGGGAGATGTCCAGTGTGTCTCACATTGTGGACATAAATGTTCACAATTTGCAAGTGTTTTTGAATTTTAGATGTCGAGATATATTAAAGTTTCTAATTTTCCTTCATAGTGTGGGCTTCACAAGTATGGAGTGACTTTCCAATCTGTCAACACTCACAGCTGTTATGTGATATAACATGATTTGCTGAATATTTTTAATTTTAAAACAAAGTACAGTCAAATCCCAATGAGTCGAATCGCTGGGGACCAAGTAATAAATTCGACTTATCGATGTATTCGAGACATAAGTACATGTATGCCTATGAGGGTAGAAAAAAGATGATCCAGTCCTAATTTTTCCGCCTAAGCATTTGTTTATCTAATGATTTCCATATAACTAATAGGGGCACCTTATCAGTTCCAGTCTGATTAGCACTAATCTGCCTTTTGAACTCACCCGTCAATGACGGAAAGGTGTGAGCCACGCTGGTTTGTTAATTGGATCAGTTTGCTACACCAATCAACTTCTCATTGACTGACTTCGGCTTATGTATACAAGATTGCTGTTGTTTGAATCTCATGGGACCAAATTTCCTTTTCGAGTCATCGGTTGTATTTATGAGACGAATTCGTGTAACCGGTATTCAAATGATGACAACTATAACAGGGAATGATCGGGACCGACAGGTACTTCGAGTTATGCATAATATTCGAGACACCGGCATTCGACTCATCGGGGGATTTGACTGTTTTAATACAAATGTATATTGTCAAATCCCTGTTTATAGTTTCCACCCAAACCCATACTGATAGCACTGGACACTTGATGTTTATTCATGCATGACTCTGATGATTTGAAGCTGGGACTCAGTTTGTCAGATCAGTGTACATGAAAACTCCCATGAATCGGCTTGTGAGTTTTGTCCAATGCATGAATTGATTTTGTTGTTTTGTCAGTGATCAGTGTGAACTTCTACAGGTGGCACTTCTAATACTCCTGGGCATGGATGACCCACAACATTAGCTTATATATACATTTATATATTTTCAAACATGTCTATAGCATTGGTTGATTAAGCATTGTTGCTATCTGCAATATTTGTTGTATGGGAAATAGCTTATGGCTTAGATGTTGTCAGGACATATTAAACTCAACTCACACACTCAGTTATTGACTCAAGGGAGAAGTCTTTTAAGAAGCAGATTCTGTCTATGACACTTTATGAATCTGGGTTAAGTTTCCAGATCGATCATTGGTTTGAAATGATTACTCAAACCAGGTGTAGTTATAAAGCACTACCTGTATACTTGGGAAAAGTTAAAGAGGTGAAAACTGTCAAAATCTTCTCATCAGGATTTGAAGGATGCTTGTTCAAATTATACTCATCCCAAGAAGTTAGGACCACCCCAAGATTCAATATTTAAGTGAGTGAGTGAGTGAGTGTAGTTTTATGCCGCACTCAAAAATATTCCAACTATATGGCGGCGGTCTGTAAATAATCGAGTCTGGACCAGACAATCCAGTGATCAACGGCATGAGCATCGATCTGCACAATTGGGAACTGATGACATGTGTCAACCAAGTCAGCAAGCCTGACCACCGATCCCGTTAGTAGCCTCTTACGACAAGCATGGGTTACTGAAGATCAATATTCTAACCCGGATCTTCACGGGTGAAATATTGAAGTATTATATCGATCATGATATGAACTATTAAACACTTTGATATTGAAAATTGGTCCTTAACTTTTTTTGTTGAGTATGTTATAGGCACAACATATTTCAGCTTGGTCATAGATTTCTGTTGGGGCATTATGTGCACACCAGGGGCAAGGACAAAACTTGATTAGTCTGTATATATATTTTTGTGATTGATTGTGTAAACCAGGACAAGTTTGAAAGTATGGATACATTAGTTCAAAGTAGATGCGGATAGATCTAGGTGTTTTAATGGGTTGCCTACATGGGTTGCCTACATGGGTTGCCTACATCAGTTGCCTTGTATTGTTCCAACTCAACGAACCGGTGTCAGAGATGAGTATGACTGCGGCATCCAGGTGTTGTTATTTTCTGTTTCATGTGTATGCCTGCTGTGTCAGATTGGTCTCCCTTGGCTGTATCAGGATCAGCTGATTGTTGATCTGCGTCTCATTCCCTGATATTATCATCCTTTGTCTGTAACCACCATGTCCTAAGTTGTGGCTACAGTCTGCATCACTTATTTCTTCTAGAACTTGGCGGTAATAAGACTGACTGACTGACTGACTGACTGAGTTTGGTTTTACGCCGCTTTTAGCAATATTCCAGCAACATCATGGCGGGGAACACCAGAAATGGGCTTCACACATTGTACCCTTATGGGGATTCGAATCCGGGTCTTCGGCGTGACGAGCCAACGCTTTAACCACTAGGCTACCCCACCGCCCCGACGGTAATAGGAAGTCGTTATGGATAATCAGCTTGTTTATTGTACTGTAGCGACGTTTCAGTTTAGATACTTGTACCATTCACCACCTCAAGCTTGAAAACGGTATAAGTATCTATACTGAAATGCCGCTATTGTACAATAAAGAAATTGATCATCCATAAAGACTTGCCATTCCTTAAAATAGAGCTCGAGTATCTGAAGATGAATGGGAGTATCTAACCAGGGGAGATAACTCACATCCTCACTTCTCCAGCGTGTCAGACATGGAACAGAAACGATTAAGTGTCAATACACATATTGAATTAGATGACACTGAGAACAAAAGTCCAAATGTTGATTGGGTGGCTCATTACAATAGGTATCAGGTACTCAAATTAAGGTTGGGCTTTTAGTAACAGGTCTCCAAGTCCATTTTGTCCACCTGTTTACTGCTCAGTTGGGTTCAGTTTTGTATGGTATGTTGTTTGAGATGTTATAGATGAATGCCTTCCTTCTGTAAATGAAGGGGCGGTGGGGTAGCCTAGTGGTTAAAGCGTTGGCTCATCACGCCGAAGACCCGGGTTCGATTCCCCATGTGGGCACAATGTGTGAAGCCCCTTTCTGGTATCGCCCGCCGTGATATTCCTGGAATATTGCTAAAAGCAGCGTAAAACTAAACTCAGTCAGTCAGTCTGTAAATGAAACAGGGTTGAATCATATGTTTGATTAGTTAATTTTTCACATGTTTACTTTTTGTTTAGTCAAATTGTTTAAGCATATGCACATATTTCATGTTTTGTGTATAACATATCGACCATTCCACTTTTGATTATTATTACCCGGTATTATTATTATTATTATTATTATTATTATCAGCATTATGTATACTGTATTCGCCTTATCAAGCATCACTTGTGCTTAGTTGACATTTAAATTATCAAAACCATTAACTATGCGATAAATTTGTTTTCAAAGATGTACTTTTAGTGAAGAAATAGGTTTTTATACAAGCTACTAGGCAATTATGTACCCATTGTATGCTGTACCCAGTAAAAGAATTTGTAATGTACACAAATAAAGTTGGACTGTGTCTTAACCTGTTCTCAGGAGGAGTGGGTGAGTGAGTTCAGTTTATGCAGCTTTTAACAATATTCCAGTAATATCACGTCGGGGGGACACCAGAAAAAAGTGTCACACATTGTACCCAGGTGGGGAATCGAACCCAGGTCTTAAGCATGATCAGTGAACGCTTCAACCACTTGGCTATCCCACCGCCCCGTTCTCAGGAGATAGGGCAGTGGGGTAGTCTACTGGTTAAAGCGTTGGTTGTCAAATCAAGATTTCGGTTCGATTCCTCACATGGGTAGAATGTGTGAAACCCATTTCTTGTGTCTCCCACTGTGATGTTCCTGGAATATTGCTTAAAGCGGCTTATTACCACACACACTCACTCACTATTTAGGAGGAGGTCCTGTCAAAGATTACTTACACATCTTTCTAGAATTTGGTCAGGATGCTTTATGATGCAAGAGGCTTAATGGTGAATACAGTATTCATTTTTTCCTTAGTGATTTATTCCTTTACTCTTTGTTTACAGTC